AGGTGGGGAATAAGAATTTGAGGGACCCTGGGCCTCAAGCTTTCGGATTCTCGACCAACTCTCGGGCCCCCAAATAATACGGTCACCCCCAAATCATCCATGATCATCCATGGATAGATGGGTTTTGCATTTTCAACCATCCAGTTTGGGGTACCCCCATTTCCTAATATCATAATATATAGTTACTAAATATTATAAACAAGTACCCAATATCTCATAATATATAATTACTAATAATTATAATTACATAATATATAATAGACAATTGTGATTTATAGTGGGTTTACCTATTAAAAATAAAAATGTTCCATAGCTATGTTAGTTTACCAGAGGGTAATAACAAAACAATCTAAGTCCCATGATTCATCCAAGATATCCATGGTTGACTCCAGCCCTATTCGAACCGACAGCTCCTCAATCTTGGCAACGTCATCTGGCTGGGCATGGGCGACCTTGGTGGTTGAGCCCCCTGAAAACCCACAGAAATTTGAAACCACCAAACAGGTAATGCCCAAAATATCATACTGGTTGGTGGTTTTAACAATCTTGAAAAATATTAGTGGAAGGATTATCCTATATATTATGGAAAATAAAACATGTTCCAAACCACCAACCAGCATAGGTGGTCACTGGATACAGGAATAATCATGAACATATGTGGAATATTTACACATGTCACATGTCATAGTTGAACAAACTTTGGTTGTATCCAACTTCACGAATCAGATACTGTCGATGCTGTCACTAAGTCGGCCCATCTACGCAGGGGGATATAAATCATTAATGAGGAGTCTGTGATTTTTTCAATGTGGTTGTAAATGAGGGTGTAAGCCACGGATTGAATGTTTTGACCAGATTTTTTTAGGCCCAAATATGGGACTGTTTGTTGCAAATCATATCTAGTCCATCTGCAGTTGCAAGAAAAACAGAAAGCTACCAGAAAACTAGCATGGGCACAAACAACAGTTCTTGCACGAAAAAAAACACTTTTCTTGGAAATTGCACGTGAGTTTTTGCATATCAAGAAAAATAACATGAAAAACCGCAGTAAAACCCACCGGCTGTTCCCGGCGGTGGGCCAACTACCCATCCAGTCGGAGTTTGACATGTTTCGATCCATAACTGGTTGGTCAAAGCTCCATTTTTTCCAGTCATTTGCCAGTTGGTTTACCATGCTTTTGAACCTTTTTTGGCAAAAATTTCCCAGTCATTTTTGGATGGTAAAATGCCAGGTTTCACCTATGGTATCTGGCTGAATTGTGATCATTCACCATTTGGACAGTTCGGAGTTTTTGGGGATAGCTACCCCAAGTCGCAAGTCCCTGTAAATTCCAGTGACTTCGCGACGTGATGTCGTAAGATAATTTATCCAGATCATATCTCATTATATCCCAATTGTATCCCTATATCTAAATCTCTAGTTGTTGTTGGTTAAACCTCCATGTGGTCCATTTGGCAAGTGTTTGTTGGTGATATATTAGTGATATTATTAATTTGATCCATATACTGGTAAATCCTTAGAAAGTAGTTGTACAGTAGCTGTTGGTTCAACCCTCTATAATTCCCTCGAAAGTTGTTGGTTCAACCCCACGATTCCATCCTTCTTCTAGGACCGGGACCGCATCGGCTTCCGCAGCGAAAGCTGCGCGGTGCAGCTCCTGGTGAAGAGACTTGACACTATGAGATAAAAGTGGGACAGACCTCGGAAAATTTAGGATTGATAAACAATCTGGTTGGTGGTTTCTATCAACCCCTCTGAAAAACATGATTTAGTCAGTTGGGATGAAGAAATTCCCAATACCCTCTGGTAAGCTAACATAACTATTGAAAATGTCCATTTATAGTGGATTTACCCATTGAAAATAGTGATTTTCAATAGCTTTTTGTATGTTTACCAGAGGGTATATGGAACAATAAAAAATGTTCCAACCCACCAAGCAGCAATATATGGGGCTGGATCAAAACCCGTGAAATCACCAGAAATGACTGCGCGGAATCACCATCCAGCACCAGCTATGACTGTTTTCGGGTGCCGTGGCTGGGTCCCAGGCTTTTGAGTACCATATAACTGGGGATTATATAAGTGGGATATATCATATAAAGGTGGGCTAAACCTGGGATATTTAACCCTTTATTGGGAGATATTTGGGATAAAAATGCACTTGAGATAGTTTAGGATACCCTCTGGTGATCTAACGTAGTGAACTGGAAAGTCACCATTATCAAAAACGGTAAATTCTCATAAATCATCTATAACCTACAACAGACCAGAGGATGAGATAGCTCTAGGCATGAAGATTGGTGAAACCTTGACCCAGGGCACTCAAGCCTGGGTACGGAAATTTTGCGGAAAACAGCATGATCAAGGGCCCGACCTTATTGACTGGTGGTTGAATGTGCTTCACACAGCTGGTGAGGACTTTGCTGACTGGGCAGCCATGGTGTTTCAGGAGTGGGGCACCCATCTCCTGCCAGAGCTTGTTGCGGAGGCGCTGGATGGCGACGTTGAGTATGTCCTGGATGAGCTCTACGCCGAGGCTGTCAATTTGTGCTGCCCCGTGAATCTTTGCTGGCTCGCAGGCGCCAACTACACCAGCTCCGCCAAAGATTTGAAGAGGAGGCGGCTGCCCGGGAGGTGCCACATCGAGCAGCGAAGAAGGGAACGGCAAATGTGAAGGAACGAATTGGCACGAAGCAGCAGGTACCTTCTGCCTTCTTCAGCCAACCCCAGTGGCATGCGGCCTTTAGGGAGATTCAATGGAGAGATCTCCCAGCGGAAGCCAACATCCCGTATGTCGTGCAACAGAACGGTCGACCATGCTTCATTATCGCCCACCCCTTTTCAGGTAGACGGCGTAAGGAAGATTTCCACCGGTGGCTCCAACACTACTCGATCGAGTATGACATCGACGTCTGCATTTTGTCACTGGATACGGCGATTTCGCCTAGTGCAGGCGACCTTCACCGATCAGCGGCATCATGGCACCACCTTGAGCAATGCTACCGCGCAGGCATCATTGCGGGTTCCCTTCTTGGCACACAGTGTGAGACCTTTTCGGAGGCCAGGTTTACACCTGCACCTGCCGATTGCCAGCGACGGTGGCCGAGACCTTTGCGCTCAGCCGAACACCTTTTCGGCCTGCCTGGCCTCAGCATTCGGGAGCTTTTACAAACATAGCTGGGCACTGGTTTCGCTCTGCAGGGATTGGAAGTCCTCTGCCACCACCTAGTGCGCGGTGGATTGGTGGTGTCTGAGCACCCCGCAGCACCGGCTGATTTAGATCGACCCACTTTGGAGGGCCGGACTTACCGAATTGCTTCTCCGACATCCTGATGTCAGGCCGCAAACGATTTGTCTTTATGAGTGGGGTGCTCCTTCAGTGAAGCCAACAGGGCTACTTGGTCTTCGAGTTCCTGGTCTGATCGGAGCCCTACGAACGGCGGTCATCCCCCACGTGAGGAAACCGCAGCAAGCGGCGATCGGCTGCATCGAGGGGGCGCACTTCACTGCCATGGATCACAAGATGAAACGCGGATCGTGCTATATATAAACTCTATCCAAAGTTCAACCCCCCGCTCGCCGCCCCAGGCAACACTCCCTGGGGTCGGCGGCAGGGGGCGTAGCGTAGCCCCTTAATCCCTTCCCCCTAATACTAACCGTCCCCATCCGTCCCCCCCACCCCGCTAATAGAAGGTTCCTGGGCAGGCATACATTGGAAATGCCAAAATAATTACGTTGTCTTTTATTTGTTATGTTGTTTGTCATTGTTTTCCACACAAACGCAACCAAACATACAAGGAACCAAAGCCGCAAACAGGAACTTGAAAATAAATTGCTATGTCTGGTAGCTCTTAGACAATACTTCACGATGGTCAATGCAATGTCGCCTAGTCTGGGCATCCAGAGACTTGTAAACAGAATGCTGTTCAGCATCTGATTTTCTGGTTTACTGATTCACTCGGCACAAAAAATGAAGAAGTGGCTCCTACTACTACGTGGGAAAACGTTTTTATTTGGGACATAAGAGAGATGGCCGGAATGTCTTACCCCCCATCCAAAACCACAAATTGATCGCTACTTCACCACAAATTTAGACTTGTCACAACCATATCAACGGTCTGCAGCTGTCCCTCCTCAGCCTGCGCCTCTACCGAGGCTGACATGGCGATGGCTCAGGTTGTACTGACACTGACGCTGGTCAGTGGCCGTGTAGACATGTGTAGGATGTAGATCTCTGTGGATCATGGGTTGCAAAATCAGTAGGACATATTGGACATGCCTTGGCTGGAACTGCCATGAACTGCCTGTGGCATTTGGCTGCCAGGCCTGCATGTGCAATTTGTTCCTTTTCGTTCGCATCATTCTTGGGCCCGCCTCAATCCTACAGGGGAAGCATGTGGCGAAGTCTCTGTAACAAGAACATGTTGGACATTCGACATCTGCATGGCAGTACCACGATCTCTCTCTGAATATACTACTAAACACTCTTCCATGCCAATAGCCTCAGCAAAACCCAGCAACTCTGGACCATCAAAAAGGCAATTGGGAGGCATAGATATTTAAATAGATATCAGTCAACATCTCACTAAAATAGTGGTACAATTCCCACTGGTGGAATATTACACAACATTTACCAACAAAAATACCCACATGTGGGTGAATATTCCATATGAAGCATAAATTCTGGAAATCACACCTTTTCTGGTTCAAAATACAAGTTAAAAAACGCAGTAAAATCATCTAAATCTAAATAGTGGTGATTTTATGTCAGTTTGTTCCACATGTCCGAATAAATAGAACATAATAGAACTACTGTAGTATAAAATAGTAAACATTCACAAGGAAATAAATACCTCCTCGTTTCTTATTCAATCGTAAACTTCGCAAAGCAGAGGGTTTTCTCCATTCTTCATAGTCTTCATATCCTATTCTCCCACGATTATCCCATATTATTCCTATTAAACCATAGAAAACCATATTAAACTACTTCCGCCAGCGCCTCCTGGGAAGACTCCGCCGCTTCCAACGAGATCAGCAGCTCAGAGCGTTGTGCCTGCAGAGCCGCCTGCAGTGATTCACTCGGCAGTTGGGCAACTGTTAGTGGGATGAATGGTGTTTTAAGAATGTTTAACCATGTTTAACATGGGTTCGACATGGATTTGACATGGGTTAAATATGGTTAAACATGGTTAAATATGGGTAAATGAATATGGTTAAATATGGTTAAATATGGTTTTAAATATGGTTGTATAAATATGTGTTCACATGAAGATGAAGATGATCGCTGATCCACCAATATGGATAATAGATGATAACAGTGGGAAAATATGATGCTTTAGCATGCCTGAACCCAATTCCGATGGGAAAGTGACGTTTCAGATCCCAACAAAGAAATGTCACTACGAGTTTGAATTCTCTTCGTTTTTTTCGGGGTGCTTCTTAGAAACATGGAAACGCTACGGAATCGTGCCATCTTCAAATGTTGAATCTCTCCAAATCTGATGCTCTCAAGACTCCGAATCTGGGTCTCTGCTGGGTCTCGGCACTTGCTCCGCTGCGTGCTGCTCCCAAATGAAGCGGCTCTGCAGTCTTTGTTGCTCTTCCAACCTCCAAAAAAATGCCGGGCCAAGGTTGACCCAGCGCATACCCAGCGCCAGGAGTGGAAACACATGATTGAAAATTCTTGAAATTTGATGCAATCTGATTGCTTGTTTGGAACATCTCCACTTTTTTGGGGAAAAAAAACACACAGTTTTCTCACGGTTTTCCTTTTTTATGAACGCTATGTTTGCACTGCTGGTTGTATCCCCAATTTGATCCTCCACAATTACATCACCATGACTCTGGGAAGATCAACCCTGGATCCAAATCACGTTGAAGAATTCCCTCTTTTGCACAGCCCAAGTTACAATGTTTTTTTGGTTGCAACCACTTACTCATCCAGCTTTAACATGTTTTAACTAGGTCAGTACATCCCAATTGGATCCAGTCACTGCTTCCTCATTTTCGAGTTGGGAGTTTGCAAACCACCGAGAAAAACTCCAGTTTTACAAGGTGGGCCTTAGTGACTAGTGATTGACTATTCCAAAAATAAGAAAGAAACCCATCTGGCATGGTTCCGTTTTTAGCCAACATTTTCTATTTCGTCGTGAAGTCCTTGTGATGTATGGCCAGAATTACCCTGTTGCATCCTCACGTTGGTTGGTTAAATCACCATCTTTGGTGATCAAATCCTTATTTCTGTTTCTAAATCGACATTTGTCTTGGATGAATAATATCGATTTGTTATGATTGAATCACCATTCTTCCATGATTAAATCATCTCAATTTCTCCTTGGTTTTGTCTCACTTTTGGCATCCCTTCAACTCCCAAAACCATCCAGCCGAGGCACCGCGAGGCTTCTTGAGCCTGGCGCTGGTCGGTCGAATTCATGGTTTTGTTCCTACTAATAGGACGTGATATATAGGTAAATATACGTAAATATAAGTAAATTTAGGTAAAAATATGTAAATTTAGGTAAATATAGGCAAATATAGGTAAATATAGGTAAATATAGGTAAATATAGGTAAATATAGGTAAATATACGTAGGTAAATATAGGTAAATATACGTAGGTAAATATAGGTAAAATGATGGTAAAATGATGGTAAAATGTTTTTTCCCCTTTTTCAAAACACAAAATTAAGTCCACTTGCAAGTGTATAACTTTAGGTACCCTCTGGTAAACTAACATTGCTATGAACGATGTTTAACGGTAAATCAGCGAACTAAATGGCAATGTTCAATCGCTGCAGCTCTGAGATGACAGGGTTATTCATCCCATTGTATCCCCATGATGTGTGTATAATAAACATACATATATATAGTAATTAAAGTAATCACATAAAATATAAATTATATATTAAATAAAATATACAAATATATATAATATATTTTAAATAAATAAAATATACAATATATACAATATATAAATTTTGAAATGTACAATAAATAATATATATATATAATATATATTTTTTTAAAAAAAAAAACATATTATATATAGTGTAAAATTTAAAAAAAAGTATATATATATAATATTTATATTGAAAATATATTTATAATTTAAATAATATATATAATATATATTGATAAATTAAATGATATGTAATAAATATATACACAATAAATAAAATAAAAATAATATATATACATATTAAATATTGTATGTGTTATATATATTTAATTTTTTCCCCACCTGCCAGGTGAGGGTTATTAGATTTTATCTAAGTTGCCTGCTCCTCCTCCTCCTCTCCTCCTCCTCTCGTCGTCCTCCTCCTCTCGTTGTCCTCCTCGTCCTCCTGCTCAACTGCGACTCGCGATCCACAGAGTTCTCTGTCGGACCTCCACCACGACCATCCACGCCCAGTGTTCCCTGCCGGACCTCAACCACGACCATCCACGCCCAGTGTTCCCTGCCGGACCTCAACCGCGACCATCCACGCACAGTGTTCCCTGCCGGACCTCAACCGCGAGTATCCATGCCAAGTGTTCCCTGCCGGACCTCATGTAGGAAGATATGGGACAAAGAATGCGCAGAAGAAAGTTAGAAAGAATGTCAGAAAGAATGTCAGAAGATATGCCAGAAGATATGCCAGATAGAATGCCAAATAGAATGCCAGATAGAATGCCAGATAGAATGCCAGAAGATATGTCAGAATATATGCCAGAAGATATGCCAGATAGAATGCCAGAAGATATGCCAGATATGCCAGAAGATATGCCAGATAGAATGCCAGAAGATATGCCAGAAGATATGCCAGAAGATATGTCAGATATGCCAGAAGATATGCCAGATAGAATGCCAGAAGATATGTCAGAATATATGCCAGAAGATATGCCAGATAGAATGCCAGAAGATATGCCAGATAGAATGCCAGAAGATATGCCAGATAGATGCCAGAAGATATGCCAGATAGAATGCCAGAAGATTTGCCAGATAGAATGCCAGAAGATATATGCCAGATCATATGCCAGAAGATATGCCAGATAGAATGCCAAATAGAATGTCAGAAGATATGTCAGATAGAATGCCAGAAGATTTGCCAGTAAGAAAATGTATAAATGTCATGGTGGGGATCACACGAAGTAAAGTAATTTTATATATGTTATATATTTTAAATAAATTATATTATATATATATATATATGTTATATACAATATATATACATATAATTTATATATATACTATATTTCTGATATATATATATATAAATAAATAAAAAATATAATGCACATCTGTATATGTGAAACCATTGGCTATGTTCCTTCGATTGTGCCAGTTGGGGAGTGAAGCAGCTATATGATTGCTGTCTTCGTGCCCTCAAATTTGGCTCAAGGCCAACTGCAGGTGACTTCAGGGGAAAAGTGCAGCCATAGGGCGTGGCAGGATTCGTCGGTGTTTCTCTGTTGGAGAGGCTTCAACTGTTAGATACTTTGGTGTGATCATGGGAAGTATTGGTTGACAATCAGGTGAAGCAATCATCCTTGAGGCAAGGATATCTCAGGTGGCTACCAGTTGGCTGTCTCTTCCAGGGCAGTCACACTGATAGCGGAGCCGAAAGGTTTACGCATACCAGCGGGCAAAGCCGGTATCTTGGACTGACAGGTGCTGTAGTTCAGCATTGGTGATGTCAAGTTCATCCGCTGGCGACGACAAGATGGAATCAATTGCCCAGTTTTGATCCTAGCACTGATGATGTGAGAGAGTTTATTCAGAAGCTCGTTTCCTACATGGAGTCTTTCCGAAGAAAGACAAACCAAACTTGGCCCCTAGGCCCCTAGTCTAGCCATGTTGTGCAAGGGACTACATGGAGTCAATACGCATGTTGGATCCTGAGAAACTCATTGATGCCGAGCATGGTGTGGAACATCTCATCGTCTTGGGAGGAGACATCCGAGCTCAAGATCCAGGAACTGTTTGACAAGGCCATGTATCGTGCGTCGCAAAAGTCCAGGGTAAAGGAGATAAAGTCCAGCAGTCTTCGAACCAGATCAAGTCCCACTCCACAGTGGTGTCCCGTGATGCTGCCAGGCCGTTGACATTGGCCAAGGAGCCGAAGGTTTCCAGCATCAGTGAAGTTGCAGAATGCAACACAAGCCAAATGGCCGCCAAAACTGTGCCAGCCACTGGCATGGCGATCATAGACACCGGAGCCAGCCATAGTGGGATTGGAAGAAATCATGTGCCTGCAATCCTGCGAAAACTGCCTGCTAGCATCCGACAGATGGTCCGTGAGCAATCCAGCAATATCGGTTTTCGTTTTGGTAACAATCAAATGTTGTCTAGCTTCAAGCAATTGCAAATCCCTTTGATTCACAGTCGTCAACGAATTAGTGGAAGTTGTCCCAAGAGCTACTCCATTTCTCCTGTCCATCAAAGCCGTGAAAAGCCGTGGAGCAAACATTGACCTTTCAACAACACATGCTGTCTCAAGAATCTTCAACGTTCACTCCCACTCCAGCAAAACAACAATGGTTCGTTTGTGATTGATATCTCCGATTTGTGTCGTTTGCCAGCTGAGCCACATGAAGCATTTTTTTTGCCGCGTCAAGATCCCAGATTTCAGTGCCGCCCGGTCTTCATTTTGACGTTCATGAGCGAGGGAATCATGCCGAATCGACAGGAAGTTCTGGATGCGCTGAGGATTCTCTCCGAAGAGGTTATCGAGAGTCTTCGCATCCTGTTTTACATGCTGTTCACGATGACGCGTGCAGTGCAACCCGAGGAGACGCGTGCAGTGCAACCCGAGGAGGGTGTGACAGAGGTAGAGACACCAATCAATCATCTTGTGGCCGAAGTTCGCAGCCAGAAAGCCAAGATCACCGAGCTGGGGGAGATGTACAGATCTATCAGGTAGATGACATGGAACCTTCTCCAAAGCGACGAAAGACTGAGCATGCGTCCCCAGAAGATGGAGGGGTAGAACATCCATGGCAAAAGGTGTTTGATATGATGAAAGCAATCTTGCCGAAATCAGGCGTTAAACATGGACTATTCCCACGCATGAGGTTTTCCGGAACATCCAACAGCTTCTGCCAAACTTGCGTGTTGGTGCCATCCGAGCTGGTAAGGGCTTAGATAGGTACATAACAGGTGATGCAGGATGGATCGATGAGCTTCCAATCCGACATTCAATTGCTCTCAAGAGATTTACACATGAGATTCAAGGTTTAGGAGCCGAGACTTGGAGAAATCTTTCGAAACTCCAGCAGCATCGAAAAGCCATTCCTAGTCACATCCTGATCTGTGTGTTGGCTGAAAAGAGAGAATCCGAGCATATTAGTGTTGGAACATCACAAGCTCCTAATCCCAATCTTGGAGCAGCCCATAGCCTTGCTCTAGCATTCCGAGTACAGTGCCAATGACCAGTGTTGGCATTCCCACTTGGACACCCATGTGTGCAACTGCCTCCGGACCCAAGTTTTTGTCTTTTTTGAGCGAGCATGATCAAGGCATTGTCAAGAAATTGCACAACAATCTCTAGGACATCCAACTTCCGAGAGACTTGCAAAACATTTGTCCGAATCAGGCGCACAACGAAGCTTGGTCGAAGGCCGAAAGAAGACCCCCGGGTCTCACCACACCAGGGAACTTGAAAGAAGCCACTGAATTTCCGTTCAGGTTTTGAAACAGAACTGGTTTCAATGGGCAGGAAGGCCCAACCATCTAACCCATGACCAAGCTGGCGAATTCATGACCGAAGAGTGGAAGTCGAAAGACATGGAGGTATCGTCAAAGAAATGCTGTCAGCCGCAGCCGAATTGACAATGAAAAGCCCATCGAAGATCTGAACCAATTTGACAAAGCATTGCAACAGTGTTTCCATTCCAAAAACACCATGTCGGTCGTTGATGATTGTAGTCCCGAACAAGCGGTTTTAGGTAAAACCACTAAATTGCCTGCGTCCATAGTTGATGATGAAGACGTAAGTGATCACCCTTGAGAGGCATGGAACAGACCTGGTGTCGGACCGCTTCCGACTTAGACTGGAGCTGAGAACCGCAGCCCGTACTGCTTTCGTGCGCTCAGACAACAGCGACGCTCTCCAAAGAGCCCTGTCGCGGCAGTCTCGAGGGATCAGCCAGACATGGTCCTGTGAACAGTCAATGCATGCATGTATTGGGATAGACGGAAATCCCCTAACATGTTAGAAAAGGATCGTTGGAACGGGCCAGCTCAGATAGTCATCCCAGAGCCTAGGACCATTGTATGGATAACCCACTTTAAATCGTCTTCTTAGGTGTGCCACCGAAAATATACGACCAGTGTCTATGGGAATTCCAACAACACTCCATAGCCGTTCAGACATCATCACATGATCAACTTCAACACATGGCCAATCAATTACAAAGACAACTTGTTGAACGAAGTGGGCTATTCCAATATTCAGACTTGAGTGACATCCCAGTTGAAAATCGGGAAGAACGAACCAAAAAATCAAGAGAGTGTAGCTCCATCAGAAGACAGCCATGAAATCCAACCAGAAGAGGAACCAAACCAGCAGATCTCAGTCAACTTGCAACATGTGAATGACCGCCTTGCACAGGCTCATGGTACACCAGTACCTGACACCCCGATGTCCTCCGTCCCTGAGGACGCAGCCGCAGAAGGAACATCAGAACATTCGCCCACCACTGCCAGTTTAGAGACCGATGATGAGGTCAATGACACAGATCAGAATATGGAACCCGTGTATAATGCCACCCTCCTGGAAAATGGGATTCTAGTGATATAATAAAAGAAGATGATGGGGTAACATGGGATAAGCCAGAAGAACCTGAACTAGCATGTGCCAGTTTTGCATTCGATGTTCCACACCTGAACAAGAGTTGTTCAAACAAGCTAAGCAGAAAGAACTCAAGTGTTGGCTAGACACCAGTACTGTGAAGGCTATGGTCAGAGACAGAATTCACCCTTCTCTCATTCTTTGAGAACTTCGAACGGGCACTTGAGAAATTAAAACAGTCTTCCGTTTGGAACTCGGGAGTACAGCAAATTCAAATTCACTGGTTCAGACATCGAGCAACTACTAGACTTCTCGATATAGGTAAATCAAGGTCGATATATTCAAAGGATTGCACCCATTGACATACCCAAACCTAGAAGATCTGACACCACTAGTCCAGTGACCAGTAGTGAACTTCAAAATTTGGAAGGTCTTTGCGGTACTGTGGTCTTCAAGACGCTGCAGTACATTCCAGACCAGACATAGCCATAAAAGTAGCATGTTTGCAAAAGGGTATTACATCGGCCACAGTGGAAACTTTGCTGGAAGGTAACCGTGTCTTGCGGGAAGCCCAAGCTTTTGTAGATACTTCGGTCATTGTCCGACCGTTGCCAATGCAAGAGGTATGCTTTGCGAGTTTCGGAGATGCCAGTTTTGCGTCAGCCAAGCAACTGTCTGCTCAACCCCTATGGCCTGTACCCGAAGCCTTGCACGAAACGAGACAACAGAGTTTTCTCCAGTCCTTTGGCACACAAAGCAAATCGGTTAGTGCTGAGGCATACTCCATGTCAAGCTCTTTGGACAAACTGACATGGATCCGAACCATGTGGGGCTACATCAAAAGTCCTGACTTTGACCGGTCCAAAGCCTGAACTATCTTTAAAATGGGAACCCAAGGGTTTGATGATAACCGACTATAAATCACTGTACTATACGATTAAATCGCCAAAAATGCAGTGCCAAGTTGTCAGGAATGGAGGACCACTACTATAGAAGTTATGCTTCTCAAGGAACAGTCTCGTGACCATACAACATGCAGGTGGGTCTCTACAGCCATTATGATTGCCGACTGCTTGACCAAACTATGGACCCCATGTTCATGCGGACGGTTTTGCAACTTGGTAAGTTCAGAATATATTACGAAAGCCTCACTCTGAAACAGAATGCAAACCGCAAGTTTGGAGTGACATGGGTTCACAATCGAATAATAAAGAGAGGCCAGTGTGAAACCATTGGCGATGTTCCTTCGATTGTGCCAGTTGGGGAGTGAAGCAGCCATATGATTGCTGTCTTCGTGCCATCAAATTTGGCTCAAGGCCAACCGCAGGTGACTTCAGGGGAAAAGTGCAGCCATAGGGCGTGGCAGGATTCGTCGGTGTTTCTCTGTTGGAGAGGCTTCAACTGTTAGATACTTTGGTGTGATCATTGGAAGTATTGGTTGACAATCAGGTGAAACAATCATCCTTGGGGCAAGGATATTTCAGGTGGCTACCAGTTGGCTGTCCCTTCCAGGGCAGTCACATGTGTATGTGTGTATATATATATATGAGTGGCGGACAAAATTACTTATTACCCGCAATCGACATGGCCAAAGTGGGTAGTCCACTATCGGATGTTAATGTTTTCGCACAAATTTAAACATCCCATGCCCACTCCCCACTACTTTAGTCTTCCGCTAATTTTGTCGGTTGCTCATATATAGTAATTATAGTAACCACATATAATAATATATATAATATACATATACATAAGTGTTTCCAAGATGGTAGTTCGATGAGATGTGCATCATATTTCCAGGAACTCTTCTATCCTGTTCTATCTATGAATTGGCTTTGCTGTACATTAAATTGGGCTAAGTCCTCCATTTTTATAGCCAAACCCATCTGCTATCTATCCCATCTGCACCTCAAGGTGTCTCTTCCATTCACCAACAGACCAAAAGAGGCGCTGCGCCACCATGCTTTGCAAATGAATCACCTGAGACTTCCCATCATACCACGAGGTTGATGGGTTTGATGGGTGTTGATATAACTATAATGACTGAATCATGGCTTGGGGTGAAAGCAACCAAAAGTAACTAGGGAAGTAGTTACTTAGTAGAGTTTCTATAGAGATCTGGTGGCTTTAAGAATCAACCATGATTCATGATGACTTCATGATGACTTCACCAAAATGCTGCTGAAAATCATCGGAGGACCTTTTTGGCGATCTCTCGGATTTGTTGTGTCCCCTTGGAGCTGAATGGTACTCAATGATCGTTTTCTTTGTTTCTTTTGAATATATATATATCATTATATATCATTATATTACAATTATAAGACTATATCATCATCAAATTAGTGCGTTTCAATCTTTTTGGGGATGACGATATAACTACATCGTAGAATCTACCCAGGCCCAGTATTTCTTGTGCTTATTCCGGAGCCAAGAGCTAGTCAAGCACCACACATGCAGAGCTATTCTTGTTTGAATTGATGAAACCACCCCCTCCCTCTCTCCAATCTTCCGACACGAAGGTGTTTTTCTTAGCTCTTCTTAGAGCCTCTGGTAACCACACCAGAGGCAACCGGTTGTGGTCCCACTTTTTGTATGGAAGATTTTGGAACTGACAACATTCTGTATCTATAAATGAATCTATTTATAGCAGACATTCCAGCCAAATAAGATGAAACCACAGGGGTATATAATTCCGAATATGTTTGATGAATATTTAAATCATGATTATATAAATCAGATTAAACCATACCCATATGCTCCATCTATATCCATCTATGGAATATGTGCCAACGTTTATTCCAAGAATGGTGCCAGCAACATGAAGTATATGGGACAGGAATTCACATGTTTGGTTCACAAAATCAAACACTTCCTCTAGTTAAAGCCATGCTCAACGATTCAACGGTTGCTTCTGGGCTTCACAACCAAGCGCGCAGCCGCCACAGCGTCAGGCCTGAGCGCGTGCGTGCGTTTGGGCTATCTGCTGTCACTTGGGAATGGCTTGAATTTATGAAGCCAGGAGATTGATGGGGGACTGCATCTCTTGTGTCAAGTTTTTGTATCAAACTTATACTCTTGTAATAATTTAACATGGCTATGGTATAAATGGTGCATCTGGTCCAGTGACTTACCGTTTCCAAACATGGTGATTTTCCAGTCCGCAAACTGTTGAGGTAGTTATCACCAAAGGGTAGTGTTCATCATCAACCAGGAACCGCTGATGCCGAAACCATCCGAAGCCAACATCAGGCAGGGATGGAGGATTTCATCTTGGAGAAGTTGGAAAAAAAACAAAGAAGCATACAGAAACCGACAGAAACCAGTACAATATAATCACCAGCACCACTGGTACCAAAACTTGGTGCTCTATACGCAAGAATCAGTCGCTGCACAGCCATGAAAATCCATGAGGTCCTGGCTTGAAGAGCCTTGTGACAGGATCTACACTGGCACCCTGCCATCCACTGCTGCTGCCTCCAGTGGCATGGTCAATGGGAGCCTCTGGGCATGGGTAATCTTGGTTGATAAACACCAGAAACGTGCCTCCAAACATGGAATATATAAAATGAGAAAATCATCAACCAGGTGATTTTGAACATCCTCAGATTTATGCCGGATGTTCCACCCAGTTCCACCCACGCGTCCATGTTGTCTCCCTCATTTTCTCTGTAAAGGCAGTCACCAATCCATCCGGAAAAATGACAAGTCGGGCCATTTTGGGATAGTTGACCTTTCTAATCATCATTTGCAGTGACGTCACAGTGAGGTCGTAACATAATCTATCCAGATTATCCCATTCTTTGGCACTACATATCTTAATTCTACCAGCAATTCTGTTGGTGAAATCTTGATTCTGTTGGTCAAATCATGTTAAATCACCGTTTCTGTTGGTGAAATCACCATTTTTTTCTTGGTGACATCACCATTTTGGCCGGTGAAATCACCATTTTTGCTGGTGAAAAAACATCATGACATAACCATTTACCGTTCCAAATCCTCGCCCCAAAAAGCGGCGCGAGTGGCTGCTGCGAAGACCGCCATCGCGGCTTGGGATCTCGGTGGAAACCTCACGACAGGCGCCACGACAGGGCGCCAAGTTCTTAGGGTAAAACGAAGCAAAAGAATAGACATGAAAGGTATGATATGATATGATATGATCTAGATATCTATGTTTTTGCTTCTAGAATTCTAGAACATTAATATGAACATATGGTATGATATGAATGGTAAGACATGGTAAGAATGGATTAAAAACTCGGACACTTGAAAACTTGATTATGATCTGATATGATCTATTGCAATTTTAAGTCCTTTCCAGTGGATGTCAATCCTTGATGCTATTCCGAGATTAATAAGCCCCTGGTTTGATGATAGGAGAACAGTGAGAAGAAGAGCACCTTATCAACCTTGGGGGTTCCCCCAATCAAAGAAGCACAGTGAACCATGATAAACCAAGGTTATGAACCTGGTTTTGACATGACCTTCGTCCCCTTTTCAGCAGAAGAGTCAGGCTTTGGATGCCCCAAGGCTGCCATTCTAATCAGTCCGGCGATTCGAAATGATGAGTTTCCACATGGGATAGAACGGGCTTCCAAGTTTTCAGAGAATCCAAAATGATCCAAGCATTCAAACATCTTGGAAACATGCACCTGTTCTGAGTCTTTACCAGCTGACTTCTTCAAAAGCGGTTCATCATGGTTCATCCCCCCGATGCACCTCACTGGCTGCTACCCGCATGAGTGGACCTGGAACCAGCAACTCTAAAGGAAGGATGGTGCAACCAAGAAACTTGTGACCAAAAGCAACAAAATAATGGGAGAGGATATAAAATTCAATGATTGGATCATAGGTATCCTTCAGAATGTTGAGAAAAAAAAGTGAGCATGTATACAAGTATATATATATATATTATAACTGGCACGACTAGCCTGAAATATCTGTTTTGTAAGGAAACACCATGACTAACATGAACTGAGCGCGAGGCTGGCATCCCATGAAGGCGAAGCGATTCTCTGCAGCGTGCCTTGGTCATCATGGTTCCACGCCAAAAACTGGGGAATTATCGATGGGTTTTTGGTGAAATACCTCGAAAATACCTAGAAAACTGGTGAACATCTTCAGAAACACCTAGAAGAAATACCTAGAAGAGTTGTCAGGGGAAGCTTTTTGACATTTGCTGTGAATGTTGTGAACCAGGCTGATTCAACTGCCGACCACTTTTGCTATCAGCTCACAGAGAAGTTCGTGGTCCGTGGTCGAACTGGGATGACTCTCCCTGAATCCGGGGAAGGCATATGGCATTGGAAGGATTTTTGTTTCCCTCTGCCTGTAGATCGCACAAAAAAGTTCTAATCTTTGGCTGAGTTTGAATTGGTCATTTCAGACTAGGTTATAAAGGCTCAGCTAAATGAAAGCTGTGTACTTTTATCCCCATTTCAGTCACCCAAAATAGATCTATGAATCTACCAAACTGAGGTTTACCCAGCCTAAGAACCCCAAGTATGTTTAGGCCCAAAAAATCCAAGAAAGTCTCCAGCAAACCTGTCGTAACTCCTAAGACGCAAACAACAAAGTCGCAGATGCACTGAGCAAGCATGGTTCACCGGGAAATACATGCATATGTAGATATATATATATACATACACATATAGATATTGAGTATGGTATGTGTGATAGATGTGATGTAATATGCATGTGTATATATATATACATATATGTCAATGTGTGTGTAGATACATACAGAGATAGATAGCTAGACTAGCTACACAATTGCGGTGTGTACATTTGCCCGATGTTCAACTCTCTGGTGGAATCCAGTTGCTCCATAGCGTCCCCGCAGCCTCAGCCCAGTTGCCGCTGTTTCTTCGGGGGGTAAAGAAACCCGACTCATCTTTCCTGCAGCTCGGAGATTTTCGGACCCTGCGGTTATGACAAAAACCTATCATAGAATCATAGTGGGTTACAATACTTGCTTTTCAATGGTTTATTGGGGATTGGGGATTTGACCAACTCAATAGGATCGGGCATGCAATACGTTGATTGAATGGATACTAACAGGGAATTTGAAAGCCAGCCGGCTGAGATGACCGGAGGGGCATCATCAACGCCTGGCCTCTTTTCCGCAAGCGCCTCTGGCACTGCAAGCATCCTCAAGTGGTTTGTCCGAAAAGGGGTAGGCCATTGAGAAAGGGGGATAATTGTTCCAAACATGAGACCTTGGGACAGTTGTGGGGTACCCAAATTGGAGACTAGTACCTATGTGTTTCCGCCACAGCCTTCTTGGGGTGAGTTAACCCCGGTTTGATCACTGATTCAGCACCAAGAAGTCTGCAAAAAAGTGGGGAAAAAACCTGAAAATAAACTAGCAACAACCATAATCTCTGAAAAATAAACCAGACCAGACCAGCCTTTTCAAATCCTCCATTGTCATTGGAGTTTCTTTGCCAGGGTTGTTGACCAAAGCTCTTAAACCGGAAAGATCTACCATGTCATTACACTAGTTGGTTGCAAAGGCTTTCCTACCATGGGCTATCATTATCCCGAATAAATTGGCTAGTATAAGTTCCTATATTCATCAACCAAGGTATTTTATGGTATTATGTTGGGCGACCACCCTTCCCGCCAGGCGACGCCGTGGCATGAAGCCAGAGCTGGTTCATCCCTGACTTCAGCTGACGATTCAGGACATGTTTCAGCACCTCGGTCGAAGGGTGTTTTTTGAATCTTAGAAGATTGGGTTGATATTGTTGATTAGAAAAGTCACAATCATTATATCTTGATATATGGGTAACAATAACCATCATTATATCTTAGAATCTTATATATTATGAATATAGGTAACAAGATATAATGATTGTTGTTGTTGATTAGAAGGAATAAATCAATGGGGTCATTGAACCAGTCAAAAAGTGGAATATGAGCCAATTTCAAGAGTGGATGGATGTATATAGATTGTCCAAACTTCCAGGTGGTAGAATGCTTCTCCAAAGAACCTTAACCAAACTTAGACAATCCGCCAACTACCCGAGTAGACACACCCTGCTGAGGTGGGTGATGGTAGCTGGGGTCTTCAAACAACAAATCGAGTTACATATAGGATATATGGACATCATTATCTTTCCCTATCTTATATTAGGATACAAGTGGATATACCCTGTACAAGTACCCTATGTGGCTGATCTTTGATGGCAAGTACCTGGGATACATGCTTGGTAACTAGCTACTAGCTTACCAGGTCAAGGGTCGGATTTCTAGGAGCTTTTTGATGCTTAGCTGTAAACATTTACTGGAGGGTAAAACCCGTTCTTGCTTTCAAATATCCCACAAAATCCCTATGTTATCGCATTATACAACCATCCCTATGTTATCGCATTATACAACCATTTTTTGTGGTTAAACCACCATTTTTGATGCCCCATCTTATCAACCTCAAACATACACCCCCCTTTCCAAGGCCGCAGGCACCATGTGTAGCAGGCTGCCGGCGTGGCGCAGCCGCGCAACGGCTTGCCTGAAGGGACTGGGGTCCGGGCTGGGAATGGGATATAAACCATGGTTTAACCATCCAAAATGATCAAAAATGGTGGTTTAACCATCCAAAATTTTGACTTAACCATCAAACATGTTGATTTAACTACCAAAATTATCCAAAATTGGTGATTTAACCATCAACATAGTATCAACAATGGTGGGATTTCATTCGGATATGATGGGAATATCATGGGAATATCAAGGGGAATCTGATATGTTGTGTCTGAAAATGGGAGATTAACCCCACAAGATAACTTTTAATAGTGCAAATAATCAGCAAATTTGGGTGTTTTATGACCAGATGGGACCCATACTATTAGCGGTACAGTATCTCCCAGTGTTAATAAACTGGACTCTTGAGCACTCAGAGTTGTCATCTATCAACTAGTGAGGACTCGTGAAAATACGAGCAAACAGGTTCATTTCGGATTGTATTTCTTTGTAACCAATTTTCTGCTGTTTTCGCACAACTGCCAACTTCCATGATGTTTGCAAATAGAGGTTCGACTACTAATGACCACTAGACTACCCAAAACATGGCAACAGCAGAAACACAGGCAAATTCATGGGCCTGACTGGACGGTCAAAAAATATCAGGGCTTCTGAGAGGATATGCTCTACCAACCCCAAATGCCAGGAACCGCTTTATCGACATGGTGTCAATCCCAGCTCAACAAATCCTGGTTGATTAAGGATCGCAACCCCGAAACCCAAAAAGTTGTTTCATGTTATATATGTCATTTGCTACTGAAATGGTACCTCCCAGCCATCAGCAGCCCTTGGGTTTTTGTTAAATTGGGGATTTACTAGCCTTCTTATAACATCGTGCAACCCAACAACCCAGCGGGATAGACCCCACATAACCCAAACGTCACGGATCCTGAGAAGCAACGCTCTATATAACTATATAACATTGTAATATAGCATTATACCATATTATACCCATTGTGGTTAATGATATCAATCATGTATAGTTAATATCTGTACATATAGTCTACAAAATATTGATATCATTGGCCATATCTATATTCTATCAGGATATATTATGACTATATTATGTATATGATACCTACTATGATTGTACCCTGTCGTGGCAAGAGACTTATTCTTGGCGCGAAGCAACGCTCTCTCCGCACACAGCCTGGGCATGGCCATGGCAGTGCTGCCCGACTTCCCAACATCTTCCAACATTTTTTAGGCAAAGCTCTAAAGGACTCAGCATGTTTCTTTCATAAAACTGTGAAAAGTTACAATCCTAAAGGATTTTTCTCTGAAATCAGCAGGTCACATGGGGCATGCGATTTTCCAAAAGGTCTTAGTTCCGCTGCCCACCATTTTTGGAGAAACCCAAATCATCACCCAAAATAATTATGGTTATATATTCCCAACATCATTGGCAAATTATCAATCTGCTAATGATTGTGTATATATATATATATAGCTTCTTACATATATATATATGCATGCCATTATCATGGATACTGTGTGTACAAACACATACACGTGTATATATGTATATACATATATATAATATATATAATATATAATATATATATAATATACACATATAATATATAATATATATATATATGTATATTTCCCTCAACAATTATGATGGACAATTATGATGCCCGTTATATATTATTTCCCCATATTCTATTAGGATATTATTTGAAACGTCCATTCTATCTACTTCAGGATGATTATAATATAACATTGTATTATAATAGAGAGTATACATACATATAATTATTATAACCCATTATTATCCAATTGTCATACCATTATTATCCCATTATTATCCCATTATTATCCCATTATAACATCCTTATGACCTTATTATTCAGTACTCAGAGTATATCCCAGTTGCAGCCAGTATTGACAACATCCGAATACTGGAACAATTATGATGCTCATTAGGTAAATTGTACAACATCCCAATCTCTCCCCATTATACCACCATGCCATGATTGACTACATTCCCCATTATTTGCCTCCGAAAATCATCTATATCACGACTTTTGGACATATATATATATAATATATATAATGTATATATAGTATAGTATATGTGGTTAATATCATTCAATATCCCGTATTATGTTGACATATCAGGCATGATATATGGCTTATCATGGTACCGCAAACTCCAATGGTTGATCATCATTTTCAGACACGCCCACATATCATAAAGTTACGTTGATTAGCTTACCCTCTGGTAATTTAACATAGCTATTGAAAATCACCATTTATAGTGGATTTTCCCATGAAAAATGGTGATTTTCCATAGTTATGTTAGTTTACCAGAGGGTAATATCCCATGTAAAAATGGAGGTGTCCTAATACACGGTAGTCACGGTAGTACCCCAATAGCTGGATGGTTTATATTGGAAAATCCTATCAAACTAGATGATCTGGGGGTACCCCCATTTCAGGAAACCCCCATATGAACATTTATATATATATATATACTGTATATCAATATTCCTACTATATCATCCATGCATCCCATGAAATATCCCAGCACATCCCAAAATCACCATGAACCCCCATCATGAAGTCCCATTAAAATTCATTGACGCAGCTATATAGCTCATATTGCTGATTATATCCCCATTATATAATCATTATATCCCCATGATTTCCTCTAGGCTCTCCCTTTCCTGAAAGGCTTTGCACCTTTCGAAACTTCCGCCAGCCGGCTTGCCCGGGCTCTACTTTGCATTCCAATTTCAAATTCATTCTCATTACAACCATTCATCAGCTATATCCCATTTGTATGACATGAATATTCCATTTATATTCCAGTCAATATTATGATTGGTATATTATCTTAAGTGTTCCTCTATGTTATCTACTATTGTTCCATTCTCTTCCTATATCATCACCACCATGAATATCCCATTTGGAGCTTTCCTAAAATGGGGTACCCCATTTCATCATCCAGCTATGATTTTCGGATTTTCCATTAACCATCCAGCGATAAAGGGGTACCCTCTGGTAAACTAACATAGCTATGGAAAGATCCACCATTTTTCATGGGAAAATCCACTATTTCTATGGCCATTTTCAATAGCTATTTTGAGATAACCAGAGGGTAAACCTCCATTTTCCTATGGTTTTCCTATGGTTTTCCAATAGCTATGTTAAATTACCAGAGGGTATCCCCATGGACACCCCCATGGACACCCGACTCCTTCGCCCAGGTCACTGCTGGACGTGGCTTCTCCATGCCCTCAAGCAGCACACGGCGCGGTAGTGCCGTGCGCCCGCACGGGCACCGTTCAGCACCTCCCAGGACATGGTGGAGATCAATTGGGCTCCAATTGGGCTCCAGAAAAGTAGGAAAACATGGGAAAAACGTGCCACGAACATAGGGAAAACATAGGAAAACTGAATGGATACCATTTTTCTTTGGGATAATTATGGGATACTATGTGGTAATTGATAGGAAATTCATGGGAACATCTTGGTTTTTGATGGTTTTTGACTATCCAAAATCGTTAAGAAACTATCCAGATTCTGGGGACAATTATGGTAAAAATAGAAACTGGTTTCTGACTGGCCAAAAATCGACATGGGGCCAACTTGAGGGAAATGCTGATGGGAAACCATGGACTTCTTACAATCCAAAATGTATACAGTAATCGAAAATTGGGGTTGGCTCTATTTCACACTAATCAAAGGTAGTTGCAACACAATTTACAACATAGATGCAGGATGATGCAGGCTCAGAAGGGTCCCCAAAAAATGGATGAAGTAAAACAACCTTCAAGACAGGATGGTCTTTTTGGGTCACAACCTTTCTGAAATGTTTTTCAAAGAGGGCTTGAGAACATGATGTTGATGGCGTGTCGACTACTATGGGAAGTGAGGCCCATTCCCCAAAGCATCACCAATGGTGAATTGAAAATCTCCGTTAAAGACTCCGTGAAAGACTCCTATAATAATTGACTAGTCGGGTAGTCATCGTAGTCATCTAATCCCCAAATCCCCAAAGATCTTGGTCTTCAAATAATGATCCGAGATATATATATATATACAATAGATAGATAGATACATATAGATACAGATACCGATATAGATATAGATACAATGGGATATCATGGTATCTTCAAATCATCTAATCCGCTAGCCCCTAAAAATCGGATCATTGGCCCATCTTGGGACGGCACCACTCGCTGCTTGGCAGCTGCAGTCTCTTCAAATTCCAACTGCTCATCTTTCTGCCGCAGCCTGGCCACCAGTTTCCCAAATTTTGGGAAAAAGGATGATTCAGGGAGGGTCATGCTTTTGTACACTCACAAAGAACACATAATTGTGTATACTACCATATACTACCTATATATAATTATATAATTATATTGTATATATAATATATATATAGGTAGTCGTGCGTATGTACATAACATGTTGTAGAGGTACATCATTGTATATGTACAAACATTTTTAGATGTATACATAGCCCTGCGAGCAAGTCGCAATTGGAGAAGCTCCCAGCGCTCCCAATCTCGAGCAGCGGCCTAGCCATGGGGATTTTCATCATCAAACATGGCGAACCATGGGGGAATCACTGGGGTTTGTTGAACGAATTAACTGACCATCCAAAGCGGTTAATAATAAATCTATATAATGTCCATTGCAATGGTTATATTCAGCTTGGTTTCTTGCAATACAAATAAGTTTATATCATTTTATATCATCAAACATGGAATCGAATCATCAAGTATATTGGGATATAATTGGGGATATGATGGTGATATAATGGTGATAAATGGAGATAATTTTCTACCTTACAGGCTTTAACGGGGAATATCATGCCGGGAAAATATGGGACAATTTCTGGATCACATGTGGTAGTTATGGGATAATCACAACAATTCCATACCCAACTGCCATACCCTATTGGGATTTATGAATTTGGGTATACCCCTGGGAAATCCTAGGAATATTGTAAATCCAATGCAAAGAAAGGGAACGTGATGGAACATGATGGAACTATAATGGGAATATTACATGAAATTGCTGCGACTCGAGTCGTTGACTGTACCAATGCGGTGAAACCACTGCTTCACTAGTCACCATCGCAGTAACCAACATCCAACCCCGATTGGGATGGTTTATTCTTTGACCCTACCTCATTTGTACAATACAACCACCAGTTTTGAACATAGGTAGATGTCATGTATGTTGACCATATATATACACATGTATATATAAAATTGATTAAAATTATATATATAATATATGTCATTCTATGTCATCTATGTCTACATTATCAATGTGCAAACAATTCTAAAATGCGACACATACACCCGAATACAAACGGAGAATAAAGTCTTTGGAACAGCATGGTGGCAGGAGCGACCCGTGAAAAACATCCGGGCTTGTCATTTTTGGGAAGATCCCATTTCACTGGTTCATCATCATCTTCCCAGGGATATATGGGGATTATATGGGATTATATAATCTGATGTGGATGGGTCCCGTTTTCATACATCCCTTGTCACTTTAAAATGGCAAAATATTTGGGGATTATATAATCCCCCATTTTCAGTCGGACCCATCCACATCATCCACTGCAGAAGCGGCAGTCCTGCTTACCCAACTGCTCTGAACGTCGCGTTTGTTGTAGAAGCAAGTCCTGCAAAAAAAAAAACGACGTGTTTCTGCAAAAAAAAAAACATTTTCTGCACACATCAAAATGGGATATACCACGGGTAAACCCCTCAAGACTGGCAATTTCTACCGCAAAGATCTGGAAATCAGGGGCAACCCACTGGATTTAGTTCATTGAGTCGACCCTCATGGATTTAGGTTCTATTCCCCTCTGCTTCAGTTGCTTCAATCCCAGGTTTTTTTGCGAAAATCTGCAGGAAACTCTGTTTTCTTGATCCATAGAAACAATTTTTATATCCCAAAAACAGACTTTCATTGCACTCAACGCCCCATATTTGGAGGTAAAAACCATGGTTTCCGGACAAGTTTTCCGCACGGACGAATTGATTCTTGGTTACCATCTGGTGATTTGGCCTGTGGTTACCATCAATGGAACTTGCCTATTCAGTTCGATGATGGTAACCATATCGAAGTGTTGATCTCCAGAGGCCATTTACCAATACTGTATCCAATACTCCGTGAAAAAATGCCATGATGATATTGTTTATTCTGTCCCGATGATATTCCAGTATACGGCCACGTTGATGGTCTAAATCCCTACTCCATAAATCATAAATATCCCTTGGTTAAGCAATGGTTGATGGTTAAACCACCATTAAATCCCCATGTTCCCATCATTTCCCCAGATTTTCTCCATTGCTCCCGTGCCTCGCCTTCAGCAATTGCACCTGCGAGCTGTTCTCGGCATGAACTGCATGGACTTGAATATCATCCTCGCAAGGTGTCTGAACCGGAAATTCATGGGGGATGGATGCAACACTTGAGGATCCAACATGTATATTTGTGGACAATTATAATATAGCAGAATGCATATATACATATATAAATATACAGTACATATAGTTATACATATACATACATATATCATATTATTTGATGTTTATTGTTTGTTGTACATCTACCGGAGCCAATGATGTCCTGTTGCCATCACATACCGGCGAGGGAATATAGGGGAATACCACTTGAGAAAGATCAACCAGTAAGTGGGAAAACGACATTGCCCCTTCTTAGGATGCCTCAAAATGGTTGTCCGAGTCCACTAGTAACACTGAGTCATCAACATGAATGTGTCTGAAAATGAATTTTGTGGGGAAAAAAATATGAAAACCAATGCCAAAGCATGTGTTTTGGGGTGACAAATTCATTATGGAAGCATGGGTTGGTGATGTTTGTCTGTGCCTTGAGAATCCGGGGTCCTCTGCTTGTTCCGCAGCCTTTGGAGATTCTTCAAAAGGCATGGCAACTCAAGTGCTGACCAGCCTCCTATTAAAACACTGGTGCTGAAAGGTTGATGCAGAAAACCTCAAGAAAGTTATAATCACCCTTGTAATCATGTTCTTCTCTAAGATTTGAATTCATTCGGCCATCATGCGATAGATTTTTGCAAAAGTGAATCTGATGAGGAAAAAAACATGATGGTTTCAGAGTGTGTCAAATCTATTCTCTCCTTTTGAATCCTCTTGAGTGTTGCAAAAACTGCGAGTTTCAAGCGCTCACAAACCATTCGCATGTTTTTTGGTCCGCCCTGCCCCCCCCCAACACTCAAAACCCTCTGTAGTTTACAATACCAGTCAAGTCTTGACATATCATGAAAGCGTCAAAAAAAAAACTTTTGGAAGCTGCGCGTTTCACAGCTTAGTGTAGCTAGCATTGGCTCCAAAGTGCTCTTTGGCACAACCCTACCTGCCACATTACACCATTGAAACCAGAAAATTGTCTCAATGGAAGAGCGCAACTACTCACACAACAAATCTGTACAGGACATGTTTTTGTGCCACATTGACTCAGCTTGTGATGGTTAATCAGCGGGACTCCAAATCTGCAACGGCTGCGAAGTATGCCCGAATGTCATCGTCCGTCTGTTGATGACCTGCTGCTGCGAAACATCATGCAAGTCATCATGTGAACTCATGGCACCATGTTCCGCCTGTGAACGCTTCTGCTGGTGCGAGGGGAGGTGATTGAAGTGAGGTAGCAGGCACAGCTGGCACACCTCTCGACAAGCAAAAAAACAATCCCCTGAAAATGAACGTATCGCCCAGAAACACTGGTTTTGCACTGAAGCAGAAACTGTGCCCAATTTAGGTTGAATAGGGGGGTTGCTGTTATCGGGATGGGATTAGTCTTTGAAACCTCCATGCAGACTGGACCAGCCGGTACAGGTCCCCCACGCCTGCCGGCACTTTCCGTATTTCTTTGGCAGAGTTGCTCCTGGTTACTTGATGTCCCAAAGATGGCAAGGGGAATAGAAACATATAGAAACAAGGTTCGGGATTGAGCCGCCCCCAGCAAAAAGATCAAGCTGTTAATGCAGCGTTCATGGTGACTGGTACAATCTGGCTCGGGCATTTCCATTGGAAATGAGGCCTGATCATGCCTGACCAACCAACCCGGGTTTTTCACGGCAACAGCCCAATCCTAGGACTTGCTTCCGGAACTGGTGAGGGGCTGCCAGCAGACGCTGGCCTGCCAAACTGGCAAACGCAGTGTTCGGGAAACCATTCCTTTTACCAGCAAAACTAAGGGTTCCCCGGGATCTTGGGAAAAATAGAAGGGCCGGTCTGTCACTGTCGTACATCTACCATCATGTTCCTATGTTTTTTGTAAAGAAAAGGAGGTTCTCAACCCAGCGGCTCCAAGAGAAGGCCAAGATGGGTCGGATTATTCCCCAGCTGAAGGCTTTGCATGGGGCTTACCTCATTAACATACTAACCAATTTGACTGAGGGAATTTGGGACATGAGTCTGAGTTTGTCTGAAACTGTGGTGCCCCGAAAATCTCTATGACTCTATGGTTTATTTTTGCGCGTGCTCTCCAACGAAACGAACCCCAATCCCAACCACAACAACAAGCACAACAACAACAACAACAACCACAACACCAACACCAACGACAACAACAACAACAACGACAACAACAACAACAGCAACAACAACAACAACAATAAAGGCAACAAAAATAACAACGACACAAATAAACAAAAAAAATGCTAGCGCATGTTTATGGTTTTATTGTCTTGTCTTACCTATATTTTCTTCCCATTTAAGAGAAAGATAATGACATAACACAATATAAATATAAGTATTTTCCTTATTACCATCTTATGAAAATAGCACCCAAAAAGATAGAAAAGCACATCCCCACTTAAATATATGCATGTAATTGTATGTATATATATATATATAGATATGCATGTGAAGATTCACTTGTCCATCTTTTTGAGGTTTATAGCAACCATTAGCAACCCCAAAAAAAGATGCCGAAGAGTGAGTGAGACATCTAGAAATATGAAGTAAATCTAGTTTACATCCTGTCCTAGAAACACTTTTCGGTATCATGTTTCTCCTTTTCTATGGTTTACTGTTGGGTCTCTCACCTTATTAAGCCATAGAAATATCTGATTTACATATTATAATATTATATCTGATTGTATCTAGTTATGGTTTATTATCATTATCTCCGTATGTTGTGGTTTTCTGTGGTTGTTCTCCCTGTCTGTGTTTTTTTAATGGTTTTCTATGGTTTATTATTGGGTTTATTATGTTTTTGTATGGTTTATTATGAACTTGGCAGCTCCTATGCAATTCCTCCCCACCCCACGGCTCGTTTGCGCCTCGCTGGGCCTGAATCACCTGCGGCGAGCTGTAAGAGCCAGATTTCAGCAGCTTGCAGTGAATTTCACCCGTGAAAAAATGTGAAACATGTTCGTTTTTAATGGGGTTTAAATAGGTTTTAGATGGTTTTAGTGGATTTTAAATACGCGTTAAATGGGTTTTAATGGATTCAAAATCAACGAAAATGGTTACCAAAATAGCAGCACCCAGAAGAAGTAGACCATTTTCGGTGATGGCCTACTGCAATCATCTGTAATCCCTGTCTTTTCACGGCACCTTATTCCCTTTGCATTTACCATTCCAGGCCTTGGCTTCTGCCTCATTACAATCCAACATGTCCGTGCATATCTCATCACATATGTGTAGATACATCTATATGCACATACTTATCTACCTACAAGTATATCTGGTTGGTGGTTTCAACCATCTTGAAAAATATGAAAGTCAATGGGAAGGAATATCCCATATATTATGGAAAATAAAAAATGTTTGAAACCACCAGCCAGATATATATATATATATGTGTGTGTGTGTATGTATGCCCAAATATTGTGCGCAAATCGTCCCATATCCCAATTTTTTCGCCTCTCTCCCGGACTCTCCATCTCCGTCACCACAGCCTGCAGCTTCAACGGTCAGGTCTGCCTGGTGAGCCTGGAACGGACGAGGCCCTCAAGGCGTGTGAAACCTGATGGTTGCCCTTTGCTCTGATGGATGCTATAAATGACATCTGGATGAATTTGTGTGTAAGTTGTGTATATAACGTGTATATATAGAGTAATATTATATATACCCACATGTGCTTGTGTGTGTGTGCGTGCGTGCGTGCGTGCGTGCGTGGGTGTGTGTGTGTGTGTGTGGTGTTGTATGGCTGGTTTGATGATAAGTATGACTGACTGTTGATAGTTTACGATCGTTTATGTGTTTTTGATTGCTGATTCCCAGAGTGGATGCTGAGAATTAATCCCGAGCCCGGGAGTTGTATCATTGCAAACAACGAAGCAACAGAGAAGCTTCAGCACGACCGCAGCCTGCAAGGAGAGGTACCACGCCTGGTCCAGCCATGTCCAGCTTATCGAATATGTTAGATCCATGGTCATCCCACAGAGGAAGGAAGACGGATACCTTTTTCTTCAAAACCAACCAAACTTGATATCTTGAGTGATAATTTCATTGCGGATTACTGAGTGCCGAAGAGGCTGGATGCAAGAGTCAACTGCCATCTACTATATCCACTCGGTATCTATCATCAGTACATCCAAGTACATACATACCAGAAAAAGAACGGCCAGCACATTTCAACTCAAAGGTCCAAGGCAAGAGCGCCACTCCCCGAGGCAAAACAATGAGGGGATGCCACCCACCAAGCCCCTACCTCAAAGTCTCGCTGCAAACGCTCCTCAAAAACAACTGGCATGCCACGGCCGACGGCCGAAAGATTCAGCGAAATCATGCCTTGTTGAAGCACCATTTGCATCAAAATTGTGCATTTTCAACATGTCAAAGCATCAAACTGGTGGAAGTCCTGATTTTCCTTTGCAGCAGACTTGTGTTTCTCGATCTCGGCCTTAACCTCAGAATCAATGTATCCTCACATATCATGGTCAGGCCTACTTTCTCGTTTAAAGTCAGATCTGTCATCAAATTCTACCTCTTGATAGAAGCACCAGCAAGTGAAGTTGCAGCATGTTGCAACATCACTGCGTCACCGCTGACCACATGAACATCCATGGTATTGAAAAAAAACTGCAACACCTTTGAGTATTGGACCACTTTCAGTCTTTCCATGCACTTCTTGTAGGTAGAAATCTTCTCCTCTCAGGTGCAGCACATCGTGAAACAACCGATTTGCTCCAAGGCATGTTAACACCGCCTCCTTCTCTCGCTCCAGCGCTGCGACCTGCCAGAAATTACATCCGGAAAATCCACCAGTTGCATCCTGCAAGACCTAGGCTCCACCATGTTCCACCCGTCGAAATATAGCTTGGCACATGGCACCTCAGGAGTGTCAGCTGGCACCACATTCTCCTGGGCTTCCAGCAGCTGGGGACCAGGTGGGGTGCCCAGCCGGCTGCGCCTTGCAACTGGGATCGTGGGGTCCGGTGCCCATCATTCTTCCCAAGCGCTCCTGGGCTGCACTGCAGTCACTGCAGAAGTGAATATCCAAAATGTCGAAAAATGCCTCAGCCATCCATTGATAGATTGATCTGCCCATCTGATTACCCATCTTGTGGTTCAGCCTAGTTGCGCACATCTGCTGATTCATACACATATGATGTCTTTCATCTATCTCTTCATTCGAAAATGAGTGAAACATCATATCTTTATGTTCGAACACTTTCTGGTGTAATCCCCAAAAACTACCGTATACTGATTTCTGTTGTCTTCTGTTCTGCCGCATGTTGAATCCTTTGCATGGCTTGGCGGGGGCTCCTTCTCAATCTTGCTTTGTATCGTTTGCACCGATGCTCTTGCTGCCTCAGTACAAAGATACGTGCTGCAAGGATGGGTTCCAAAACTGGGGGGTTGCCGAGGCGGAAGTTGATCATGCCTTTTTTTGATGGGTGGACATCTATATGCACACTAGTTGATTTTATATTGCATATATTATATATATATAATTATATGTATATATATTCTCAAGATTGGTAGGGAGGCCGATCCTTGAGAGATACCCAAATCCCTCTCTATCCAACAACTGAAGGAAGATCCACACTGAGATGTAGTTGAAAGATCCCTGATCTGTAAACACCTATGTGCCCTGCACAAACACCAATCGTAGCACCTTTTTATGGCTGACAGCGTAGCTCAAAATGTCCCACCCTCCGCTGGGCAATGCCTGAGCCCACCCTTGAGCTGCAGAGATGCACGTAGCTGATGATCTCGAACAGGCATGCACTGAACATCATTGCTTTGAAATTCCTTCTATCTATAAAATTGTTCGAGATACAGCGGTTCCTCACGCTGAGTCTTCAAGATTCTTTCCCATCTGGCGTACAATGAAAACACTGTTGTCAGTCAACTTGATTCCAGTTAGGACGTCTTGGCTTTTCCTATCAATGAATCCCCTGTTGTAGAATCCTGAGACAAATTGCGAAGCCACTGCATTCGGGCTCTCGAGTCGGAACGGGCACGGAGGATCTGGTTTTCGTCATGTAGGCTGTAACGACCACGGGACAGGCATTCACGCAATACCGCAGCATCCATGATCTTTGTCAGAGCATCTGCCAACTGTGCTTGTGATGGTACCCATCTGATTTGGATTCCATTTCGAAGGTGTTCCTTAATCAGTTTTGCTTGTAATTGAGTTCTGAATTCACCGCAACTGGGTGGGGCATGTCTACTGATCAAGTCAAAAAGTGATTTGCAATCTGTGGTGATAATAGATTGAGTCTTTTCGGGTAGTTTTGAAAGTACATTCTGAAGTGATAAAGGTGGTTGTGAATCAGTGGAATCATCTGTTGGAGGAATCGCTGCAAACGCCGGAGGCAACCGCAGTAATGTTTCATCCGCCAACTGCCACTTGCAATTGCCGTCACGCAACCAGGCCCAGTAAAGACGCAGCCATGTCAAACTGTCTACTGCACCGGCCAATGACATAGCCTCAGCAGACAACGTACTGACTACAACCTTTTGTATCTTCTTCGAATGCCATATGAGAGGATTCACTGGGCAGCTTTGGTTCTCAGCAATCTTTTTATGGCTGGCCATGATCATCATTCCTTGATGTGAGTCAGGATTTTTGCTGGATGCGAATGAAGCGTCGGAAAATGCTACAAATCGAATGTCGTTAACGGGAATAGGTTGGAATTTGATAGTTACATCTGAATGGACTTTGGTCTCATGAAGTATCTTGTTACCTTCACTGAGAGTGGCAATGGTTGCTTTGTTGATTTGTGATTGTAACCATCCGAGCCTGGACGCAATATCCGGTCTTGTGTTGACTGCGGCATACTGTAGTGATCCCACAAGTGCTCTCAGTCCCTGACGCTCTTCTTCAGTGACAGGTGCCGTCGGAGTCAATTTTCGTTCTTTGGCAATCTTAATTGGATGTATATCTTTGACATACTGTTCTTGACTAACCCAAATAGATTGATCCAGTTTCTGAGAAATTTTCAACCCTGTGAACGTGAAATCTCTCTTTTTCTTGCTACCAAACGGATATTTTCTTTCAAGTTCTAAGAGTTTTGCATGAAATTTGGAGGATCCACAGCACAAACCATCATCAACATGTATGCCAAGGATTCCCTCGGGTTGCTGGTTCTCATTCCTAAGCACAAAACAGCATGGATCAAACGGTGCAGAAACAAATCCTAAGGACTCGAGGCTTTGTTTGAGTTCTTGAAACCAAAGAAAGGGAGCATCAACTCGGCCATAAGCTCCTTTAAGCAACTGCACAATCTCATTCTGTTTCAGTTTCATTTTTGTCCTCATCTCCTCAGGTGGTTCCATGCCCAACAATCGTGATTGCTGTTCAGTACCCCTCAGGAACGCCGTCTTGATGTCAAAACTGTGAATGTCCCAACCCAAACTGGCAGCATGTTGAAGTATCAAAACACGTGACAACTTTGACATCGTAGGGCTATCCCGTGGAATCTGATCTACCATTGGATCTTCGAAACCCAACACCACCAATCGTGCTTTGGCCTTACGACTTGGGTGCATGGATGTCGACTTGGTTTCCGCATTGGTTTCATCGGCTTCTTTCCAAGTGAGTATCCATCGACATCGAAGTATGCTTTCTTTGGGAATCTGGTGACGCAACACCCTTGAGACTGTCTCAGTGGAAAGCCAGCTCTCGACTTCTTTTGTCTTAGCTTCTGCAAACATTTGTTTTTCTGCAGGACTAAGATTTGAGATTCTCACTTCACTGCGCTGGCGTTTTGCAGCTGATACCAAGAAAGCCATTTCAGATGGACGGACTTCTTCCTTCCACTGATTGATATCTTTTTGATTGATGTCAACTTCAAAACGGAAAGCTTGTTCTTCATGAAGAGTATAGATTGGATATTCTTGGGCATATAAACCATCTTCCTCATCTGATGTTTCAGGCACTGGGATTTCAAAAGCTGGTGTATTTTCAGTGGTTGTATTGTTGGAATTGTCATTTGGGTTTTCTGATGGAATTGAGACAATTTCAGGTTCGGTGTCAGGTTGGTCATGAGGTGACTCAGGAACATTTTGTCCCGAAGGGCTACTTGACATCGGAGCTTGCAAGGTCACGCTTGGCTCTACTTCCGGCATTGAGGCACTTGGAATGGCATGGTTCTGGCCCTGTGAGTCATCTACGGGTTGAGGAGGCATCATGTCATGAAATTGAACTCCACCATGGGCAGGCCTGATTGATGATTGATCTCTGGATTCAATTGCCGTGGAACTGGGTTGATATCGGTGTTCTTCCATGGCCGTCAAGCTTCTGAGGTGTTCTGGTGCAATTCGGTACAGTTTGTGATGGCGTGTTACCCAAACAGTGTTTTGACCTTCTTGGATGATTACTTGTAGTGGCCCTATCCATGATCCTTCTGCCTCACCTTTCTTCTTCCACATCATGACCCACTCACCCTTTTCATAGAACCCTCTATGTGGCCTGCTCCGCTGGACAATGGCCCTTCTGAGAGTCTGGTCATTATCCACCATGGCAAATGCCTTTCTTGCGGATTCTCGGAGGGCCAGATCCTGTCGAAAGCGCATTCCGTCAGGTTGATTTGACAGAGCAGCAGCATGTGCGGCAACAGTTGGATCAGAGGTCACTGATCCTGGTACCCGCACCCCTTTTCCAAAAACCAACATTTCTGGAGGAAAACCCCGGTGTCGGCTCCATTGATTCTTTGTACTGGTTACATGGCTAAGAGCTGCTGACATTTGTTCATAGGTGGTGATCGGTTGTTCCAGGTCAACCTTGTTTAACATCAACTGCAAGATGCCGCCATGACGCTCTGTACGTGCATTTTGCCAATGGGCTTCGGCAGCACAGGTTCGGCATTTCACGCTGTGTCTCTGGAGAAAGGAGCTGAATTCATCTGAGTTCAACTCCGTTGCAGCATCTACGCACAGGAGATTTGGAGGTCCAGCCCAATTGAACCATCCTGTCAACAGGGCTCTGCAGGCATGATCAGTTGTATGACCTGGCGATACAACGGCAGTGTTGAACATGGTGCTTTGATCTAGAAAATGATAAAAGTGAAATTGACTTCCTTGGGAATTCGTCCACGTGATACCATCCATAGAAACAACATCCCCAAAATCGCATGGCTCATGAATCGCACTTGGTCGAGAAATGACTGGACCCCTGCTCTCCTGACATACGGAACATTGGATGTCTCGAATGGCTTTGAGAATCCTTTCAGGACACTGCAACTGTCGGCAAAATTCCGTCAGCTTTGCATGACCAGGGTGGCCAAGATTGCGGTGCAATTTCAAAAGCCAACTCTGCTCATCACGGTCAAGTTGTAAAAATTCTGGTCCATGCTTTTGGCTGGCTAAATCAACGATTTGATGGGGAACCTCTGATGTCTCAGTTTCTGCCGTTCTTTCACTGGACTCATGGGAAACTTCAGAATTATTTCTACCATTGTCATCAGGATTACTTATGGGGTGGAGGTTATGGTTATTCAATTCAGGGTTATTATGGTGAGGCTTCAGGTTGATGTCGGCATTGGGAGTGGCATCAAGGTTTTGTGGTCTTGGTGTGGTACTGGCTGTCTCTGGTCCATTCCCAGTTGGATTATGATGCATACGCTTGGCAGCAGGTGGTTGGCTTGCACCTTTTGTCTCCAGCGGTCGCCGGTGACTGCTCGGGGAAACACTACCATCACCCGTGTGAACGGGCACAGCTGAACTTGGCACCTCAGGTTCTTTGACTGATGCAAACACTGTCATGCTGACCCGGGCTGATTGCCCCTTCCTACGAAGACCCCTTTGAGAAAGGTTTTCCCAGGCCTCCCAGTCATCAACATGAAGATCTTCAGATCGGCGCTTGATACAAACTTGCCTACGTAAAGGAGCAAACCCTGGTGGAATGGCTCTGTTGGGTCCCACGTATCGATCTGTACCTCGACACAACACAATGTGGCGAACATGATGTTGAGGACACAAACTTTGAACTTGTTCAAACAATTCGCCGGCTTCGACAACTTGAGTTCCAACCCGTGGTGCAGTGCGATCAGCAACTTTCATTGCCGACAACCAGGTGATGGTGGCTTCCGGAGGCTCAGCAAATCTTTCGGCAATGGCTTGAGGGCTCAATTTACTCCCCAATCGACGGCGTTTGGTGGGATGATCGTCGATTGTCTCACCAACCATGGCATAACATCGCTGACCTTGGTCATGGAGCATGATCTTGGCAACCTGCTTTGCAAATTTTTGGGGATAGAGTTCGGTGAACTGTGACAACTTCACTGTGACACCATGGATCTTTGTGTTTCCAGCGATGTTCCGATGGTGGTGTTCACCATTGCACATCTTGCCATGCAGCGCAACATGCATGTCCACGGATGTGGAGCAAACAGCCATCCTTTTGCGGATCGGATCATGAGTCTGTGGATCTCGGAGATCCCCCACCTTACACATGTCAAACTCATTCCAGAGAGTCCCTTGGAGAATCTCGTGCATTCCCGGTGTCTTCATGAGTGCTGATCCACGAGGTTGTTCCAAGTCAAAATGGTTATGATGTTCTTTCTGAAAACGATACAAAACCACTGCCAAGGAAATCTGCCAAAGCTGTTGCTCTCGTTTGTTCATCACTTGTTCCCACCCTTCAAGAGACCTATTCATGTTGAATTGACTCCATTGACACCATGGACCACATTCAGGACTTACCCATACATGTTTTGGTTGCTGGGTGGCTAAGATGGTGAAAAGTCGCCTACGGCCTTCCACTGTGTTGAGATCACCTTGCAAACGACCAAACCTTTGTGCCTTTCCTCCAAGCCTCTGCATTTGTTTGGTGAGTTCACTCTCCCCAGAACACATGACTTCTAGCAAATCAAGTCTCGGCTGCTGACATCTTGGCTTGGATCGGACTTGGATGACAATGTCATGCAGTTCTTTGGAAAACTTTCGGACATCACGTTGAATCCGGGCTTTGAAACTATTGTGCCCTTGATTAGGAGTGAAATCAAAATCCAAGTCCACATCGCGATCATGCACGTGAACATCAGCAGAACAGGCACTCTCTACAGCTCGGCTTTCACACTCAGTTGACCTACATGCATGAGAACCTCCTGCATGGCCATCTCCATGTTCGTGATGCGACTCGCCAACTGCTTGTTCTCCATGGAGAGATTTCCCACTTGTTCCTCCACCTGTTGAATCTTGGCCGGAGCTGGCATTTCGAAGAAGGTCTCCACTGGATCCAGTTCTGAGATCTGATCCCACACATCGGAGTCGGCCGAGGCGGTGGCTCGGCACTCCTTCATCTTCTCGGATTTCTTGGTCTGGTTCTTGTTCATATCCTGGGCGATCTCGTGATCCAGACGCTTCAGGACGTACTGGACATACATCTGGTGCTGAGGCTTCGGGCTTTTCTCGTAAGCTCGAATGAACCAGTCGGTCCATGATTGGTCCCCGAACACTTCGGGAAACGTCTGTCCCATCTTGGCCTTGCCGAACGCAATGCGTTCTTTGGCCAATTGCTCCAGGGTCATCTCCCGGATGCGTCCCAGCTCGTCCTTGGACTCGGTCTTCTTCTGCCCCTCGCGATACTGAGTCAACTTGGTGGCCACGCTGGACATGGTGAACGTCACTTATGTGCTGAGCGTCGGCTTCACACAGGCTACTGCTTGGTTGTGAAAAACTGTGAGGAGCATCATGAGGCCTACCATGCATGGCCATGTGATTGCGATTGCTTGCACTCTCTGTCATGGACCCTGCGGGATCTTGAATTTCCTGACATGAATCTTCACCTGTGACCTGATTGACCTTCTCTGGTGACAACCCTGGACTTGCACTCTCGGACGACTCTGGCATCGGACTGCTGACTGTGTTTTGGATTGGCACCTGAAGACAAGTAAATCCAGTCGCACTAGATTTCTGTACTGTTGGTTCTTCATTGGGTCCTTGCCATAGTTGACTGATGTCCATGAGGAACAAATTTTTGCTTGACTGGGATACCATCAATTCTTTGTTCAATGATTTGCTCCACAAAACCCCAGTATCAGTGTCAATTACCGCTTTGATCCCTTTGAGAAACGAACTTGACAGCAAAAATGGAGTTTTACCTGGAACAATTGCTATGCGAAACTTGGCATGACCCAGCGGCAGCAACAAGGCATGTCTACTGGTGAGAGTCTGCTGGTTCCCGAACCTGAACGTCAAATTGCAAGTGGTCCTTTGAATTTGGCTTTGGATCCTTTCAGGCAGGTTCTGAATCAGTTCTTTAACTTGGGCATCACCTATCACAGTTTGAGAAGCTCCAAGATCAACTATTCCTACAGTTCCTGCTGTTGCAAAATGAACGTCGCAGATCTGGGTGTCTACGGCAGCTTCGGACGGATGCAATGGCTTCAGAGACATATGCTCTGACTCGGGGCAGGCAGGCGCAGGTGTCAGAGACTGTTGCTCTAACTCGGATCGGATGGGCACTCGGGCTTCAGATGATTTCTTGGTCCTGTCGTGGCGTTTCCACTGAAGGTGAAAACGTTCAGCAAACTGAAGTTTATCCATCATTATCTTACCCCGATTATCCCCGGTCCTACGGTTACCCCCTTGAGAAGTCATTACCCCAAAACAGGCTTGTTCGGCTTGTGGGTCCTGATCATCCACGATGGTGAAATGGGCAATCTCCTCAGGCACTTCTTCGGCAATGACCACAGAGGTCGGGGCAACATTGGCAGCTGGATTGGAGTTGGAACTGCTTGAATTTCCACCGGCACGCTGTGGACATTCATTCTTCCAGTGACCCTTCTGCATACAGATTCGGCAAAACGAATTTGCAATGCGTCGTGCCAAAGAACCTGGACCAGAGAAAGGCGATTTGCCTTTGCCTTTTCCTTTTCCTTTCTTTCCAAAACCCTTATCAGAGCGGCGATTGATTGGCCAAAAGCCACGAACCTTCACCCTTTCACTCAAGCGGCGTCTGGCCTCTTGGTAATTGGAGTAGTATGCAGCTAACTCTGAATCGGATTGGATCGTTTCTGAAATCGACTCTTCAAATTGCATCACAAGAATCGCATCTTCATCATTCTCAGCGGCCAGTGTTTCAAGAATGTCATCTTCACACAGATCATCTTGCAGGACGAAGGCTTCCTGTTCATGCTCAGGTTCATCATCCATATGCAAAGCAGTGTGATCATACGTCTTTCCGACTTTGTCTCTTCGGATTCCAGTGTAATCTTGAAAAAAACCTGACCCAAGGAGTCGAATGGCTGCTGTCACGTTCTTCATGGTCAAGGAGCTATCTGAAGCATCTTTGGATTCTACAATCACCCGTTTCTTGTCCTCAGGAGGCAATTTGCTCCCTCGAAGAACGATGTATGCTTGCAGTTCACTGAGTGACATTTTACGGGACAGCAGTTCTGTCCAGATCACATCACATCTCGAAAGATATGAATCAGAACTCTCATCGGCTTTCTGGATGCTGCGAAACAGTGCACGTTCCGCCAGTTCAAACTTCTTCTCAATTGGCACTTGTCCCCAAGTCCCCCCAACTACTTCCACCAAACGTTGAATCCCTTTTTCATCATTTGTAAGGACCTCATGTCGGAGCAGCTGTAGTTTCTGGTATGCCGTGCCCTTGCATCCCAAAATCAGTCTTGTTGCTAACTCATTCAACTTGGAAGGAGGCCACGTGGTCAAAAGAAGTTCAACCTTGCTTGTCCAGATGTCCACATTATCTGTTGACGGATCAAAACTCGGAACCAGGCTTGCAAGTTCCTTTGGAACATAGGAGGCGGCATCCCCGCCTGATGTCTCACTCATGTCCAAACAGAGTTCACCTCCTTGTCCTTGTCCTCAAAGATCTTGGAGCTAGGTCCCTGCTGGAGCGGTCGACCAGGCGCTCCGCTACCAATCTCAAGATTGGTAGGGAGGCCGATCCTTGAGAGATACCCAAATCCCTCTCTATCCAACAACTGAAGGAAGATCCACACTGAGATGTAGTTGAAAGATCCCTGATCTGTAAACACCTATGTGCCCTGCACAAACACCAATCGTAGCACCTTTTTATGGCTGACAGCGAAGCTCAAAATGTCCCACCCTCCGCTGGGCAATGCCTGAGCCCACCCTTGAGCTGCAGAGATGCACGTAGCTGATGATCTCGAACAGGCATGCACTGAACATCATTGCTTTGAAAATATATACATTCATATTCCATACTACAGTATCTAATTTTATACTGGCAGTTTCGAATTAGGTATGTGGTTGGTGTCTTGGGTAAACCCCCAATCTTGATGCTGACCCCAATTTTTTGCCGGCCCCCTCTTGTAATCAAACGTGGTAATGGAGATTTAGTTTCATGATTTTCCCAGTTATAAACCTCCACTTGTAGTGGATTTCCCATCCTGTGTTTGACTACCAAAGGGTATCATGGATTGTTGGTTCTACACATCATATCCAGCACCATTTTTGGTGGTAAAGTCACCATTGAATTCCCATTTTGATAGTTAAATCTCAATAAATAAAAATTCAATCCAAATCTTAGTGGTTAACTACTATAACACCATTACAACTCATATTATATCCTCTTATATCCCAATGACGAATTACAGCTTGAACATCCCATGATATCCCCATATAACTGATAGTTAGGGGCGTCATTGATCACCATCAAATCCCTTCATGTTCAATGCTTTAATCTCATGTTGTTAGTTAAGTCACCATTTAAGTATTGAAACATGATGATTAATATATTTTAATATCATGAAGTATGAGTAGTCACTGCAAGTCATTGTCAAAATTAATTAGTGACCATTAAGTCACCGATTGTGAATATACATATATATATAACCTATATAAATACAAATAAATCATGTTCAAGTTAGTTAGGTCAGTTAGGGAAAAGTCACCATTGACCACTAATCCTATGATATCACCATATTTGATAGTTGAATGTTGTTGATCACCATTCAAATAACCACTTTATCCTTCCCATTAAATAACCAATGAAATCCCAATTTATTCTTCCCATTGAATCACCAATGAAATCCCAATTGTTCAATGGTTTACCCTCTGGTAAACTGTCCCATTAAAAATTGTGATTTTCCATAGTTATGTTAGTTTACCAGAGGGTAAGTGTCATTAAATCCCATTGAATCCCATTAAATCCCATTAAATCCCATTAAATCCCATTAAACCACCATTTTCCTATGGTTTTCCTATGGTTAATCTCAATTGTTCAATGGTGAAATCCCCATCCGTCGCCAACTTGGCTCCGCGCATTCGCCCGCTCGCCCACGTCCTTGGCTTCGATCACCAGCTGTTTCCGCGTGTCGCGACCTCCGTTACTGGGGCTTAAGCAACAAAAACGATGGGAAACAATGGGAATAGCATGGGAATATCATGGGATATAACATTCAAATATCCATTTTTTGTTAAGTTAAGAGATCCATAATGTTCAGTACTTGGGGTTATCTTGGGGATATAATGGGGATATAGTAGGCAAACAGAGAGAGAGATATATATGATAAAATGAGATAGAACTAGTTTGGGAAAGTTACCCATACTAACCATCAGTTCAACGGCGTGGAAGTCGTTATAATATATAAGAAATGAAAATGATCTCAAAGAATGACCTACAGGTCAGTTTGTTGCGAAGTCGCGAAGATGGAATAGGGAATAGGACATTTACAGCTGAGATAGTCTCAATATCCCCAGTGATATCTTCAGTTGTACTGCTTCGTACTCGTTGAAATCTCTACTTGCTTCAAATGTGACAGCATATGATTTTCAATAGACTGAGTTACTGTAGAAAGAACCAGTGGTCTCAGCGTGATCTTTGCTATATTCAGTTCTGACCTTCATCCAGTGTCTCACTGCGACGCACGGACTTGCGGAAGGCGTCAAAGGCCTGCGACAATGATAATGAAAGGTCTAAGTCTAAGTGATAAAGCAATAGTCTGGCGATAGTCGTATGTATACAATACCCATGCTACTAGTCACAAAAAGTCCTAAATACAGCAGTAGTAGCAGTAGTAAGATAAGCAGCAGCAGCAGCAGCAGCAGCAGTCGTGTATAATCACATACAGTATTTAAAGATACCTTTGAAGCGTAATTACCCCACATCTGTGAAAGAAATCCCTTCATTGACCCTCTTCAAGTGGCAAGGGGTACCCTCTGTGGGTCTGTTGGATTTCGCTTAGAATAACAGGACAATGAGAGTGAAAGGTCTCTATATGCATATACCCCCATAGCAGCTATACAGCAATCATAGCCACACGGCCACCAAACAGAAAGGAAAACGAAATATTATGGCTATATCATATGGGCACACACACACACACGCACATATATATATATATACATACATACACAATTACATATATATATATATGGAATGTACTAGAACATAAATGTACACCGTGTAGGATGGATCAAGATCCACTGGCAAATAGGAGGACATCAGGAATCGCGGGTCAACCACTTACCAAGGGCCTATGATTGGGTTTCTCCCGAGAGACCGGGATATAATCCATGAACATCACCGCATAGTCTATCCATTCGGAACCAATATGTCAATATGCCTGGGATGATCCTCCAATGTATCTAAGTTGTGTGCCCCTGAGGGGAAACCACGATTTTGTACGCCGAACTGTAAGAGTTTCCCGCAGATTTTCCCGGAAAACAATTTGGATCAAGGCACTTTGTTCCTGTCAAGCAGCAGAGCGGCAGAGTCCGCTCCTGCCACACATCCTGCGACACGGGTGACCCTGAAACCGTGGGAGTATGCCCAGTTTATTTGATCTTAATCTGTTGGAAATAGAATCACTTTGCGACCCGCATTTTCTGACCACCCTTTCTCTAACTTTATGTGGGTCTTGCCATTGTCTCAAACTTGGTTTCAGAGATCTTTGGAAGCTCACAGTTGGATGGCAATCCCCATCGGGACTCATGCATCACTTTCCAACCAAAACAGCAACATTGAAATCAATTTGTCATTGCACCAAACTCGGGGCTGCATCCCATTTAGTAAGTGGGGTATACCACATATGTATATTTATATATAAATATATATTATATTATGCATATCAACTATAGGGTCTACTATGGTTATTCACCACTTACTACTGGGTCCCGGGCAAGGAAGAGTCACAAAGGCCAGGCCTGCGACCCTCTCGGGTGTTGAAGCTGGTCCCTCGTTGCCCTGGCCTGGCTTCAACATCTTCAACCCATCCCGGATGACCCATCCTAAAAACCATAGTGATCCCAGATGTGCTGACACCAACATATATATATAATTTAGTAAGCCTGAAAAAGATTGAAGTAAGTCCGTAAAATCAGTAAAATCATGTAAAATCCTACTTAAGTAGACTTTTCTGCATCTTCTTGGGCATTAATTATTATATATGGAACCACCAATCAGTTCTCTTCTCCCACTCTGCGCGGTGCCTTGCGTGCCAGCCGATGTTCCGGCTGACGCTGCGCCCGCTGCTGGGATGAAGATGGGACCTGCCGTTGCAGCCTGCAGGGCGAAAGGTGCAGCTTGGGGTTCGCGATGGGCTATATATATATATATGTGTGTGTGTAGATGTAGTTATATATATATATATATATTAACAGATTAATATGGGTATGTAAATAAGTAGGCCATATGTATGTGTGTGTGCCTGGTTGCTGCAAGCCACTTACTAACTGAGATACCACTTGGGATGATCTTTATCGGTATGACCATGGTAATAACCGCCATAAGTTGGGGATATATGCCCCAAAATGACCATATTCCTAGGTATGTAAATTGCAGTCGCCGGGTAGAGAAAGTTGACACCCCTTGGCACGGGTGCTGTTTCAACCACTATCATGGAATTTGAATTGGTTGAGTTCAATAGGAAGACCCTTGGCAATATATATATATATATGTATATATGGTTTCACTTGAGCAACCATATTGCCAAGGGCAAGAAATCAAGTCCTTCAACCAGTCGTCGCGGACCCTTGGCAACACACGTCACTTGGTGGCGCCTCTTTGGCGTTACCCCTCTTGCTCAAGGAACCAACCTCGGGTTCAAATGGACTGGTTTTCGTAGGTATACTGGGTATATCGGTATATCCTCTAAACTCACTTTTGTTTCAACCATTCCAAACCTATCCTATTGAATGCTTGTGGGGATCCTGTGAATTGTCGCCTGCAACACAAATGTAACCCGATCACTATCCCCAGCTGAGGTCCGTGACCAACATGCTGATCTCTTGGTCACGCATGGCAACCTGAAGGGGGTTGCGAAGGCACGGGGGCCACGTCAATTAGCTCAGTGGGTATTGAAGGTTGAGATGCGCCTCTTGACGGAGCTGTTGAAGTGTTCCTTCAAGGGTTCCAAGGAGGTTTCCTGGCATCAGCAGATTTATTTGACGGGCATCTACAGGAAACTGTGGCTGTTACCCCGCAAAAATCGAGGGCTTCCTTCAAATTGTCCCTTCAATTTCAAGGATTCAAGGATGGCAAAAAAATATTGGTCCTTGCAAGCGCCCTAGAAAAACGCGCAATATTTCCTAAAAGTGACTATCTCTCTCTCCATCGTCCACTATAAAATTGAGTAATGATTGGTGTGATTCTATCCACCCAGGGTCACCGGGCTCTTACGCTCCCCAATCTTGTAAAGTCAATGGCAACTTTCTATCCCGGTCCGTACTGAGAAATCAAAACAAGAAATGTGACCCAAAAGGATCCCAAAAGGATTACAGTATGTATATATATATATATTCATCACCATCGGGTGTATGAGGTTGGCTATCTATCTGTCAGTCTGTTTGTCTGTCTGTCTATCCATCTATCTCTATCGATATGGTCATCCGCCATCCCACCTTGGATCCTTGGCTCAGCACCGTTCATCTTGGGCCTCAGCTGTTGTATGCTGTTGTCGACTGGTTGGGAAAAGTTGTGTTACGATTTGGATCCTGAAAGTCAAAGTCATGGGATGAACATGGCTTAAGTGGCTTAAGCCCGCATCTTTTGCAGTTTTGCATTGTGCATGTTTCTTTTGTTGGAACCCGCGGCTTTTTTGTTGGCGCATCCGCTGGGCTTGGGCTGAAGCCCATGGCTACATCCTGGCTTCCCAGCCAGTGATTTTGAGGGTACCTGGGCCCTTCACAATTTTCCATATGAGTGGTTAGCTTTAGACTAGACATCGCTAGATAGCTTCAGATTTGTAGTTCCTCCAATATCGTATCATCCAATATCGCCCCTTTAATATTGATAGTTGCCCATCCGTCACCCTCTTGTAGTCTAACTAACGGTAATGGGAACTCCGACTTTGCAGGATCCGTCCATCACCAACACGGCTGAACCTCCTTTGGGCCCTTCAAATGCCTAGCCAGTTCCGCCACGATCAGTTTGGAAAGCGCTGCGAGTGGCAAGCCAACAACCTCGACTGCTGAAGGTACTACCCTCTGGTAATTGAACATGGCTGCCTGGGAAATCGAACTATATAAATATCTTTATATAAATATAGGCTAGGCATTTCTGAAAAATGATGATTTCCCATAGTGACGTTGGATTACCTAAGGGCAAGTTGAATCTTCAAGGCACATCAAACCCCCCTCCACCACGGCGAGTTCGGGTCCGCTGAGTCGCTCCAGCTTTCAGCCCGCTGAGGCAAGTGACATTTTGGTAGTTGCCTTGAATTCCGGTGACCAGCAGGCAGCCCACCGCCTTGGCTGAGCCATACACCCACGGTGGAAGAAAAAGGGACCTACAAGGCGGTGGAAACGTGATGTATGTGATGCCCATTTCAGATGCCATTTCTTGCCGTTGAGTTTATCCCCTGCCAGTTGCTTTGGTGAAATATGTTTAAACTATCTTAAACTCAACTATTTTGGATGGTTAAATCCAACCATTCCAAAGTGAAACATGACATATCTGTAATTCCCCCCCTCAAAACAGCGAGTTAGGGGGTGGGGCATCATTCTTGCTTAAACCTCAATTCTTGTTGGGCATCCCCAGCTGCCACGCGTCGCACCTGGATGCCGTAGCCACCGGCTTTGTCGAAGGGCTCTCCGGTCTCAATGTAGGCCTTCAGCTCTTCATCTTTCATCTCTGCGAAGAAGACCAACGTCTCCTCCTCAGTGAACGAAGAACGTTCGGCTTGCCACAGGGATAGCCTATGAAAATGGTGAGTTGACCGATTTAGCCATCAAAAAATTGGGATTTTATGGGATTTGATGGTGATAAGGTGATATGATGTCATCACCAATAATGGAAATTTAATTGTAGATCATATATATATAATTATATATATATATGGCTTAAGAAACTTAAGAGGGATAATAGTGGAAGATAGTGGGGTAATAATAGACTTTTTGATGGATTTACCCTCTGGCAATCAGACATGTGGCCAGGAAATCCCCGAACTAAATGGAGGTTTATAGCTGTGAAACTCATCTATGAATGAGATATGTTCCATTGCCATGTTCGATCAGAGGGTGATCAAACCCCAGCCCTGATATCATAAGGGCTTATCAAGGGCAAGTCTTAAGCACCCCCAACCACTCATACGAGCGAATTTTGAGTGTTGTTTAAATTACGGCACGCAATCATTCCCAAATTGCATTTAATCACTATCCCGTAAAATCCCCGTGAATGTTCCATTGAATCCCAAGATTTAATGATTATTATAGTGATTTTAAAATCATGGGGATTCGTATGCCATTTGAATCCCTTCCAAATCCCATTCAAATCGTATTGCGATCAGTCTACAATCACTTTAACATCATTGAAAATCCCATTTCTCTCCCATTTTTCCACATCCCTCTCCCCATCCCATGAAGCCAATGAAGCCCCCATAAAGTCCCCAATTCCCAGAGAAGCCCCACGAAGATGGCCACGGGCTCGGCGCCGGCCACGGAGACCGCCATGCCGGTGATGACCTGGACGATGGGACAGATTTGTTCTTTCTTAATGGGTACCTAATTAATGGGAATCTAACAGGGTTTATATTTATCTATCTATCTATCTATCTAACTAACTAACTAACTAACCAACCAACTAACCTAACTAACTAACTAACTAACTAACTAACTATCTAATCTAATCTAATCTAATCTAATCTAAACTAACTAACTAACTAACTAACTAACTAACTAATCTAATCTATCTATCTATCTATCTATCTATCTATCTACCTAACTAACTAACTAACTAACTAACTATATAACTAATCTAATCTATCTATCTATCTATCTATCTATCTATCTATCTATCTATCTATCTAACCTGGGATAAGGCTATTGGGATAATTCCACTTACTTACTGACCATAATTCCAGTGATGTCGCAGTGAGGTCGTCATAATTTACCCAGAGGTATTTATATATTATATGGAACTATATACGTATGCATGTTGTGGGATATATCACGAAAATATCTAACGGAATCTAACGTATAATATCATGTCCCTTTCCATCACGTTGAAATTGATGAGATCACCACATTGAACAGGTGCTGTGAAGGTGCTGCGAAGGTGCTGGTGGGATTTGCAATGGAGGGATGAATGGGATGATAATCATCAACCCGATAACAATAGAAATAGGAACAGGATGACAGTCACCCACAAGAATTCCAAAGGCCCTCTCGGCCCTCTCTCTCTCTCCATCACCATCCCGCAGGTCCAGCTAGGAAGGTGAATTCCAAAGGCTGGGATAATGGGTTAATAACGTGAATCGACAATTGGGTTTTCATTATCAAGAACAGGCGGGGGGTTCAAGAAAGGCAAACAGCTGGAAGTTGGAAGTAACGAGCGCATTGTTCAACGGATTCGATTCTTGACTATCCAGCAACCCTTGTGGCATGTAATCAAGAACATCACATGCAACGGGGACAGACCAACAGGACCAAGACAAGACAGAGGCTATCACAATCGAAAGCAGCGTCATTTGCTTCCGCTCGGCCACTGAACAAGCATTTATGCCTGCTGCTTTCTTCACAATTGGCTTCTTGGGGGATTTCATACAACACCATTTATCTACTAAAGAGGGGGACGAAATCCCCCAAAACATATACATGATTACACCATGTCCTTGTTTCTCAGAGCAATCTTACCATTTCCCTTGGGGTCTTTCGCCTGGGAATGGCCCGACATTGTCTAAACTTGTTGGGCCGCAGTAGCCTCATCAAACCGACTGAGCACTTCTGTAACGGTGTTCAGCTATCTTCATCTGTCATCCTTTACCTAGAGATAGACGACTGATCGCAACAACATCACAACCCAGGAAAACCTCAGCGTTACTTCAATAATGAGCATGGCATATATATATATTGTATAATATACATATGCCAAATAGAAAATATAATGTTGGATTAGTGTAAGCAAGGCTTCAATTACATGTACTTGATTAGAAGGCAATATCATGCAATATCATGCAATATCATGCAATATCATGCAATATCATGCAATATCATATTCATGCTGTAGAGTAACCCCCAAAATGATGGTTAAATATGGTTAAAAACTCTTAGATTTTAAAAAGATCTCTCCGAATCTCTCCTGTTGGATTGTGTTTTCTTCACTATTCACTACCTTAGTTGGTTTTCCCAAGGCGAAAGCCTTTCGTTTTCTCCAACCTGGTGATCTCGTCCCTGCAAATGCTTCAGCATGGCCAAGGCATGCGCAGCGTCCTGCAAGACCGCAACGTCGTTGACCGCGGAAGGAAGGCATTGGGCGAGTTGAAGCGTGATGTTCATCACCAAAAATGATGCTATGATTGGGACATGTATGATTTATGTATGTTCTTTATGGGGATATTTTACCAACTTGATATGACAGTGTCTGAAAATGTGGTGTACACTCCTACTTGGTTTCAAAAGAGGTGACATTTTTGACTGTGCCCTACACGTGGACCTTCAGCGACGACAATGATGAATGTAGAAATTAACCAGGGGATTTGGGGATGCCTGTGATTAGGCACACCCAACCGATGATCCATACAATCACCAAATAACGAATAATAGTATATACATGATAGTGCGATATCTCATGTTTATCTCTTGAAGAAAGGCAATGAACAATTTGGTGTACCATTAAATATCTTGAATGGAATATATATATATATATATTGTATATATATATGTATATACATTATACACCCCTGTATGGCTTCAAGTATACGTTCAATACAAGACAAAACTGATGTCCCACAAGAGTGGAAAAAAACTGTAGCAATTGATATACCCAAGCCCCACGCACTCTGATGTAGCTACGGAAAATGTCATCATTGTACATAGATTGTTTACCTACTAAAGATGGCGATCTTGTATAGCAAGAGGTTCAATTGCGACATGATAAACCCATCAATATTCCAAAAACTTTCCAGTGACATGCGAATGATAAACATTGAGTATACAATATACCCTTAATATGCCATTTTCAAGTTAACCCCCATTGTATAATCATTGTTCATGGATGTTGTTGGTCGATGTTCATGGTCCCCAAAAGCCTGTCCTTGGGTTTCTCCAAAATGGTGTCGCCACGTACCACAACCGTGTCAGCACCTCCATCAGACCACGGCTGTTTACATCTTTTCTTGGAGGGTTAGGAATCACTATAACTGCTTATATTCCCAGAAAAGATCGTTTTCAATATCAGCCCATAATCCTGGCCATCGTTCTTAATTGTTATTTATCACAAGTTGCATTCCAATCACCATAAGTTGATGGATCAACTTAAACATCCAGGGCTATTCCAGGGCTTGGATCTGCCGGTGCCACAGCCGGGTGTCCCTCGTGGTGCACCTATCACGATGAGGACTTTGTCATCGTATTCAGGCTGCGGATATCTCGGGTGGGCCAGCTTCATTACTACCTGAAGCTGGGTCCGCTGCATGGCACTTAAGCTGCACTTGTGCATTCCAGTTGACTGGCAAATGATTTGGAAATCATATATAACCAGGGATGTTCTTTAGATGCCTGGGGTATATATGGTTTTGACCTATGACATGTTACAACCCACTTACTAACTGGGATGCAAGTACCCCCCCAAGCCGTTCCCCTAGAAATCAAACCAGGCATCAGGGAAAATCATGGCATCTAAGCATCCAAGATTTACCCAATGTTTGACTAGCAAAAGGTGACCATGGCTCCTACTCATCAACAATGGATTCGTTACAGTGATAAGTTCAGACGGGTTCAAAATGGATATTGCGAGGTCCTTGAACATGGTCTTTTTAAAAACATGGGAATCCAGATGTTGAAGCTTTCCTGGAGTCCGGTTTCTTGCCTCGGCGCACTTGATGCGGGCATTGGCCATCACATACCTTGGCGAACAGGGTCTGAAGAGGTTCAGCAGTTAACTGCCTCGGGTTTTTCCGAAACCACTGGGTTCCAATTCAGCGAAGGCGCATGCGGATGGACATATATAATAACTTCACACATGTTTATAGGGTGCTTAAGGGGGCGTGGAAGTTGGGGGGTGAACATATCTTCCTATTGCTTTCAAAAGTGCTAGATCCAACCCCAAACTTTTATACAGCTCCCTAGCAGTGCTAACAATAAGGGGCCCTAAGGAATACCAAGGAATTTGAAAAACTCCTTACAGAGCACTCCCGGTGTATACATGTTTTTTGGCAGTAACCAACAATGGACATCAATAAACGGCCTTTGAAAATTAGATCGGCATGCAATTCAGTTGAGTGGACAAGTGAATGGATGCATGTCGCTACTTCGAAACTATGTCGCACGATGTCGCAATACTTTGCGCGTGCTGTCAGAGAGTGGATGCTCAATGGCACCTGTCTTCCGGTGTATAGTATGTGGGGGACTGGCCAGCCAATTGCCGGTTCCAGACGTGATGGGTTTGGTCTATGAATCTGGAAATTCCAAAGAGAAAACCAACCGTTTTACCTCTTTCTGGCTAGATCAGGTGAAAAAACTATATAAACAACCTAATAGTTCCAAAAGCAATGGTGAAACATGGTGAAACGGATAAAAACCTAAGAAATTAAATAGCATTAAAGAAGGAAAAACAGCAAGAACCCCTTTCAGAAAACACCATGAAAGGTTGACATGACATGCCCACATGCCGCCAGTGTGTTTTGATTTCTCAAGGAAGAAACGTTCCAAAAGTGAATTTTGCAGACTTCCAAGTCTGAGTTAAATGCTCAGGTGCAAGATTGATCTGTGCTGCTGTTGGGATATCACTTTTCTTTCAACTGCCGTTCCACTTTTTGTTGTTGACTCTCTCTCTCTCTCTCTCTCTTGTCCCTTTTGTCTTGTTTCCAGTAGTACCGCACAAGGCGGTGGCGGAAGTTTCAAAAATAGGAAACCTATAGGAGAGGTTGGTTGTTGTGAATCACGGATGGCAGAGCGAATCCACTGATGGACCGAAAGGTGGTCGAGGTCTCCTCTCTTTCTCTCTCTTTCTCTCTCTTTCTCTCTCCCTCCCTGACTATCCACCTACCTACCTACCGATCTATCTATGTATCTATCTATCTATCGATCGATCTATTTATCCTATCCTATCCTATCCTATCTATCTCTCTCTCTCATCTAATTACCTATCTATCTCTCTCTCTCTCTATCTGTTTATCTATCTATCTATCTATCTATCTATCTATCTATCTATCTATCTATCTATCTATCTCTCTTTCTCTCTCTATCTCTCTTTCTCTCTCTATCTATCTATCTATCTATCTATCTATCTATCTATCTATCTATCTATCTATCTATCTATCTATCTATCTATCTATCTATCTATCTATCTCTCTCTCTCTGTATCTATCTATCTATCTATCTATCTACCTATCTATCTCTCTCTCTCTATCTATCTATCTATCTACCTATCTATCCATCTATCTATCTCTCTCTCTCTCTCTCTATCTGTCTGTCTGTCTGCCTATCTATCTATCTATCTATCTATCTATCTATCTACCTACAAGTATCTGCAAGCTTGAAAACGAAGCTATTCTGCGAGACTTCCTCAATTTTTGCACTTGACAACATCAAAAACGCAGCAATTCAGCGAGACTTCCTCAATTTTTGCACTTGACAACATCAAAAACACAGCAATTCAGCAAGACTTCCTCAATTGTTGAACTTGACAGCATCAAAAACGAAGCAATTCTGCGAGACTTACTCATTTTTTAAGTTGACAACATCAAAAACGAAGCAATTCGGCGAGACTTCCTTCAAAAATGGAAAGTTGAGTGCAGAGCTGACGGCCTCGTACCAATGCGTTTTGCGATTTTTCGACTCCACCAGTCTTAACCATTGCGCCTGCCACGAAAGAGTGATACTGGGTCATACGAAGTGCTGCACCTGTCACGCAAAATCATCTCAGCAAACCTGAAGATCTGATGCTCCAAAATGCAACCCCTCTCAGGAAATCAGCGCCTGGACCTTCCAACAGCTCTGATGAACATGTCTCTTGTACTGCGCCTGCCACGGAAAATGCATCTTTGCAGATCCTCTTCAAATGTCCCACGCCTGCCATCGTTTTTGGAAATGCTACAAAACCCTCACGTTTTGCTAACTTTTGACAAGGTGCACAATCCCGTGCGCCTGCCACGCGGAACGACATCTGAACGTCCAAAAGTGGTGCTTTTCACATTTTTGACTTCGAAATGTGCTTCGCGCTACAACGGCGCACACTTCTTCGACAGCTCAACTTCCAAAAGCGGTCCGAACATGGTGTGCTTTGTACATTTTGACGCGTGCACTTTTTCGACATCGCAACTTCCAAAAGTGGTCCCAACATGGTGTGTTTTGTACATGTTTGACTAAGAAATGTGCTTCGCGCCACAACGCCGTGCACTTTTTGGACATCTCAACTTCAAAAAGTGCTCCGAACGTGAGGTGCTTTTAGCTTTTTCACGTGCAAATGTGCTTCGCGCCACAACGGCGTGCAATTTTTATCAATTTTTCATCTCTCATCTGGCCAGCTGGCTCCGCACCCGCCGCTTTAGCGAGCCTACTTTTCGACCATCCGGAGATACAAATCATTGGAAAAACACAGTGTTTCGCGACTTTCCTACCTTTTCGCGCACCTGGATCTTCTTTCTTCTGAAACTTTCTCTTTTGTGATCTTCTTTCTTCTTCTCTTCTCTTCTCTTCTCTGACTCTTCCCATCTCTGCTTTTCATCTGTCCATATTGTCGGAAGTTTGACTTCTAAACTTCTTCGAATTGTAATTCTGAACATCAAACCATACCCCCCGAACAGCCTGAATCACACATTTCTCGTGTTTGGCGATTAATCTTTGAATCCACCAGCAAACCACTTACAACCAGTTCATTGTGATTTACATTCCCTGTTGCAGGTAAAAACTATAAAGAACATCCTCCCCGTGATTAAAAAGCAAAACAGTGTTCATGTTTTCAAGGGAAACTCTATCTCTGGCAATTTGACATGGCTACGGAAAATCACAATCTTTAATAGGTAAATCATCTATGAATGGGCCATTTTCCACGGCAAATGATTGCGATCCCAGTGGCCCCTGTGGGGTGTACTCAGACTTGTCCAGGTCCTGTGCACCGAAGTTGGGACCGCCCGCTGACTAAAAATGGGGACGCTGAGGGATGTCTTTCTACCGTCCGGTAAAGTAACACAGTTGTATTTAGAAAATGAACCATTTATGGATGATTTGCCTATGAAAAATTGCGATTTGTATAGCATGATATGGCTACGTTAGTTTACCGGATGGTAGCGAAAATCTTACATCCAACAAAATTTGGAGCCTTGAAACTAAAAGGGCAAACCACCCTTAACCATTTGAAATTGGATGTTTGGCAGCAAAATTGAGAATAATTGAACTATCTACTAGGAAATCTGAAATATCTGAATTGCGTAACCCAAGGAAATATGTTTTTGGATGTTTTTCCCAAGATACTGGGGCGCAGAATCTACCCAAATGCCACCAGCCTCCGCAAACTTGGGTGACACCACCTCGAACGGCAGGCCTTCAGTCCGGATGCGCCGCCCAACAATGGTCCAATGCTTATGGAAAATCATCCGTTTTTCGGTTTCTATTCTCATCCGGGTTGGTCAATCCCACATTTTTGTTCGCTTGGCTTAATTAAACCATCATTTAGGTTTCGGTTGAAGTTAAACATCCCCTATGTAATGGGATATATATAATGGGCTGCATTTTTTTTTTGGATTTGTTCCCTTTATTTTTGTTTTTTATCCCGTTTTTTGGGGTTTGATGGTTTCGATTGGTATTTGCAGCGTTTTACAGCTAAGCTCTCTGATTTGCATGGTGTTGTTGTTGTTGTTGTTGTCGTTGTTGTTGTTGTTGCTGTTGTTGGTGGTGGTGGTGTTGGTGTTGTTGTTGTTGTTGGTGGTGTTGTTGGTGGTGGTGTTGGTGGTGTTGTTGGTTGTTGTTGGTTGTTGTTGGTTGTTGTTGGTTGTTGTTGGTTGTTGTTGGTTGTTGTTGGTTGTTGTTGGTTGTTGTTGGTTGTTGTTGGTGGTTGTTGGTGGTTGTTGGTGGTTGTTGGTGGTTGTTGGTTGTTGTTGGTTGTTGTTGGTTGTTGTTGGTTGTTGTTGGTTGTTGTTGGTTGTTGTTGTTGTTGTTGTTGTTGGTTGTTGGTTGTTGGTTGTTGTTGTTGGTTGTTGTTGGTTGTTGTTGTTGGTGGTTGTTTTTGCTGTTGTTGTTGTCGTTGGTTGTTGTTGTTGTTGTTGTTGTTGTTGTTGTTGTTGCTGTTGTTGTTGTTGTTGTTGGTTGTTGTTGTTGTTGTTGTTGGTTGTTGTTGTGGTTGGTTGTTGTGGTTGGTTGTTGTCGTTGTTGGTCGTTGTTGGTTGTTGGTTGTTGGTTGTTGGTTGTTGGTTGGTTGGTTGGTTGGTTGGTTGGTTGTTGTTGTTGTTGTTGTTGTTGTTGTTGTTGTTGTTGTGGTTGGTTGTTGTGGTTGGTTGTTGTGGTTGGTTGTTGTGGTTGGTTGTTGTGGTTGGTTCTTGTTGTTGTTGTTGTTGCTGCTGTTGCTGTTGCTGTTGCTGTTGCTGTTGCTGTTGCTGTTGGTGTTGTTGTTGTTGTTGTTGTTGGTTGTTGGTTGTTGGTTGTTGGTTGTTGGTTGTTGGTTGTTGGTTGTTGGTTGTTGGTTGTTGTTGTTGTTGCTGTTGCTGTTGCTGTTGCTGTTGCTGTTGCTGTTGGTGTTGTTGTGGTTGTGGTTGTGGTTGTGGTTGTTGTTGTTGTTGTTGTTGTTGTTGTTGTTGCTGTTGCTGTTGCTGTTGCTGTTGCTGTTGCTGTTGCTGTTGCTGTTGCTGTTGCTGTTGTTGTTGTTGTTGTTTTGTTGTTGGTGTTGGTGTTGGTGTTGGTGTTGGTGTTGTTGGTGTTGGTGTTGGTGTTGGTTGTGGTTGGTTGTTGTGGTTGGTTGTTGTTGGTTGTTGTTGGCTGTTGTTGTTGTTGTTGGTGGTGCTGCTGCTGCTGCTGCTGCTCTTGTTACGTTGCGTTCTTTGTGTATTGTTGCGGTGCAGATGTGAAAGCAAAGTGCAAAAGACAGTCAAACACATTGGCAAGCTGGCAAGCACCCTTTTTTGACCGGAGCAGCAGCAGTGCATCAGACAGCGCGAACAGGGCTGTGCCTTGAGAAAACACAGAGAAAAACACCACACTACACCGCACGGCACCGCGAACATCCGAATCCATCCAAGTACCCGACTCTCACTTGCAGCCCGAATTTGGATACGCACCTGAGGGGCAAGAACATATATGCACACGGGCCCATGGGATACCATCAAAACTTGGGGACCAGGCTTAGGGTCTTAGAGGCTTGTCGAGGTAGCCTTGGCCTGCCAGCCGTAGGTATGAAGCCTTAGTTTCAATCAGATGGGGAGACTGGGAAGCAAGCAGCGAAGGCAAACCACCGCAAGCAAGTTGCTCGTGTCTGCGCATCGCGCGGTTTTCGGGCCTTGGTCGAGGGGATGAATTGAACATGGAAGACGGAACCAAGGACAATGCATGCGAAAAACGTTGCGCTGAGATTTCAACCTGCGACTTCTGGGCAGCGGCCTAAGTTCGCATGGGGAATAGACAGACAGGGACGCCAAACGTTCCAGCCATGAGCATCAATGTCGTGACCGCACCGCTCAAGCAGTCAAGCTTGAGATTGCCCCTATCGGAGGACGTGCAGAAGCAGGCTTCTTTGCTTTCAATAACCATGCAGCATACGATACATTTGTATTGCGTAATGTTTGACATAAAAGACAGCTGTTTGAACCATAAGAGCACGACGTCTGCTGAGACCGCCTAAGCTTTTGAGACCGGACTGGACAGGAGATGCTGCAAAGAAAGCCCGGAAAGTTGCACATGCAACCATGATGTGTATAATACACCTGAGAGCTGTACAGACATATGCGCAAACATTGATTCCACACCGGTGTGACACAGCTGAAAGATTGAAAAACATGTGGTTGCAACTGGTCCAAGGCATCTGCTGCGTCACTGCTGCTTGTTGACGCTGTCTAAGACATCGAAACAGGAATGTGAAGTCATGCTGCGGGCATGACTCATCGCACACAACTTGCACCTACAGAAACAAAAACAAAGCAGATTGAAGCGTCAAACTCTTGGGCCCAGACATTTTTGGAAGCTCCACTGCTTGCATCCTCAAGTTTAGACTGGGAAAAGCAACGAGAAGCTTCCGGCACCAATGTGCGGGATAAGTCCAACGACTTTTGCAGCAGCCACATGTTCACTGAAGTTCTGGCCGTTGCAGGACACTCTTCCTGAAGTTAGCTGGCGTTGAGCAAGACGCAGAGATCAATTCGGCAATGAACAATCAACTGAGGGCACGACTCTTCGAGATGTGCCGGAAGATGGAGGGACAGAAGCACAGGGTAGGATTCTTTCAGGTACCAGCCGGGAAGGTGCAGAGGCAGAAGGGCACTTCCATCAGGGCATGAGACTCGCCAACCGACATGTTGAAGAGGTAGAAGAAATCAGAGAAAGAAAAGCGACGCAAGGCTGGGATTGTGACTCCTTGTTCCCGCATTGGATTCAGCAAATGGCCAAGAGAAGCAGACCGGAGCAAGTTTCCCAATTCCACGTACTCGGGAGAGGGTGCATTGGACGGACGAGATTGTGGCGGCAGAAGCGCTGGTTCGTGGGCTGGGTCAGAACCAGGAATTATATCTGATGCGGAGTTGGCCGCGCTACTGCCATGGTCTTGCGCGGCCGACCTTTGGGCTTTGCCTTTGGCAGCACTGTGGTGGAAGACTGGCCCTCGTGTTCCATGCAACAATATGCATGCTCACACGGCCCCCCAAACAGATGCAGGGATATGCAGGGTGGCAGCCGTAGCAAAGCCAAAGCTTGTGCTTGTTGTTCACGGGGCATGATGAGAGCCCGGGACGGGGGTCGGAGCCAAAAAATGACTGCAGAACGGCAGTCATTCAAAGCCATCCGAATGACTCCTTATTTGCTGTGTGTGTGTGTGTCATAGGCGTGCGTGTCTCTAGTGTCCCCCTTCGTTATTTTGATCCGATATATTCTTAAAAATTCCTTTCCCTCCTTCTAAGGTATGAAGGTGGTGGAGGAGCAGTCTTCTCAATCTTAAACCACTGCAAAACTAGTCATTCTATTCGTTTCCTCCAGTTCTGTCTTTGCTTTCTGTTGCAAACCATTTTTACTGGCAAGAACGGCAAGGACATGTTGAAGCACTCAACTACTTCAAAGCCATAAAAGCCACGAAAGCCATAGAAGACCAAGAAACCACGAAAAAACATAAGCCACACAAGCCACAGAAGCCAAGTAGCCACAGAAGGTACACAAGCTACGAGATCCAAGAATCCAAGAACCCAACAAAGGCCACAAACGCCACAAACGCCACAAAAGCCACAGAAGCCACGAAGCCACACAAGCCCAGATCCAAGAAGCCACCAAAGGCCACAAAAGCCACAGAAGCCAAGAAGCCTTCCTTCCTTCCTTCCTTACTTCCTTCCTTCCTTCCTTCCTTCTTTCTTTCCTTCCTTCCTTCCTTCCTTCCTTTCTTCCTTCCTTCCTTCCTTCCTTCCTTCCTTCCTCGCACCTTCCTTCCACCAGAAAACGGGAAAAATTCCCAAAAAAAAATGGGGAAAAAACCCCCAAAAAATAGCCCTCCATTCCAAAATATGGACTTACATGGCACAATAACTCCAGCTTAGGTACCTGACATGGCTATTGAGATATAGAAGAAACGGCTTGACAATTAAATACCGATACTATACCCAACAAAATTTGCTACTTTGGCCCCAACTGAAAAAAACGTTTCTCCCAAACCAAAAGCGAAAGACCCTCTGACATGGCCCCCGCAAGCAACTTAACATCAGGGACGTGACAACAGCTCTAGATTAAAACCCACCCCAACCCCAAACCAGCACCTCTGACGTAGCGTGCAATTGCGTGCGCCGGTGCAAGAATCGTATCAATGACGTAACATCAGATCTAGAATTTAGATTAACATCTAATTACATGACCATTACTCTCCCACCCCATCCCATCCCCAATTTTGTGGGACGGTAGAAGGTCCATTTGCTTAAACATTGATACAGTTTGTAAAATTTAGTAAACCTCCACAAAAATCCGCCCGTTATTTCTGTGGCAAACATTTGCGGCCCGAAATTTGCTGGATCCGAGCAACCCCAAAGCCGCAAAATCTCCTGGCGCCGCGGGCTGCTGGAAGCCAGGACAATGCGGCAGTTCTCCTTCATCCATGGAACCTGACGTGAAAGTGTACGCAACATGGCTGTTCAATGGGGTTCACGCGGAATTCATATGGAGCTGAAGGATTTATTGGACCATGCTGGGTATAACGGTGAACTCACCAACGAAAATGATAATAATACAATGCGGGCAGGCTGGGATATGCATGAAAACACTGCCAGCAAATCACCCACAATGAAGGTTTCATGGGAACATCACCCAGGGAATCTGAGGCAAAAGTTGCCCTAATTACTGCAATTTCACAACTTGCTATGGAAGCTATGGCCCATTTAGGTCGATGATTTCCCGGTTTGGAAAAACAACATAGTTTATGTTTCTTGGGGCGGGGTAAAAGCCCCAACGAAACTTGGGTTTGGATACAGGACATCCGGAATTTTGAAGGTGCAAAAAAAACAACAAAAACAAAAACACTAGAACATGAAGAAGTGCCAGTAATTAAAAGTCACCATCGTCATCATGACCATCATCGTCGTCGTCGTCCTCCTCCTCATCATCATCATCGTCATCACGTCAACACGTCATCAGGTCATCAGGTCATCATGTCGTAAACATCGTCATCATCGCCATCATAATCATCATCATCCTCCTCCTCCTCGTCGCCGTCATCACCATCACCACCGTTGTCATCACCACACAATCATCATCATCATCATCATCATCATCATCCTCATCATCATCCTCATCACATCACGTCACGTCATGTCACGTCACATCATATCACATCACTCCACATCATCATCATCATCATCACCATCATCATCATCACCATCGTCATCATCATCACCATCATCATCACCACCATCATCACCATCATCGCCATCATCATCGCCATCACCATCATCACCATCATCACCATCATCATCACCATCACCACACAACCATCGCCATGACATCATCATCATCATCATCAACAACACCATCATCATCATCACCATCATCATCCTCCTTCCTTGTAGCTTCTGTCTCCATGTTCTTAGCTGGGGGAACATAATTGCGAGCTTCTTGCGCAGACATATCAGAAGGTAAGGTGAACAAGTAATGGATTGTGTGCATCGTTATCTGTATGTGCACCTATGAAAGTGTTGTGGTCACAGGATAGGCAAATCTCATTCACTGAAAAAATCTCCAACATGGTTCATGTGATCATCGTCATCAAATTGGGTTGGATCTTCAACAATCTCCATCCTAGAGTGTCCCCATGCACAAACAGACATCATGCAACAGTCTCCATAGCCCTGAGTCTTATTTGCAAGCTCTTCTGTGTAGGTCTCTGATGACCCCCACGCTTTTGAGCACGGCTTCTCTGATATGTGTCCCTCAACTGGCGTAGACGCTCACAAGAGATGTTCTCTTCACGATCAGGAGGTGTTCGGGCGCGGCCTCTACGCATCAACGAGATTGCGGTCGCTCTTGCAGTGAAATCTTTTTGCAGTGATACAACTGGGTTTGGACCAGAAGTCACCGGTGTTCAGATCACAACACACACACACACACGTTCGCTCAACACTGGGGTCGGACAGCAATATTCGCGAATTCTTACTATTGATGCTCAGGCTCTACACCCAAAAGTTGCTTAGCAAATATGGGGATGTCCAAGGCACAATGCCAGCTGAGCTATCTATTGATGTTGGTTTGATGAACAGCTGAAGGATACGATTCGAGTATGAGTCTCTCACAGGGACACGAATCAATGGCACACTTCAACACACTTGGTGGTTCAATCTTGTGTCCATCAAGCCCTGCACTCAACCTAGCACTCACACTAAGGAATTCAAAGCTTGGCGAAATATGATCCCCGTCTGTACTCCAACGTGGGGTACAGTCCTAGAAAAAAATTGGTCTAAAATTATGACCCCTAACCTTTGAGAGGTTTTAGAGCTTTAAATTCCTGGTTCCTAACCTCTGAAGCCGAAATCTCACTTCCAACCACCTTTTTGAATTTTCTTTGCTAATTTCCTGGTACCCAACGTCCAACATCCAATAAATTTACCGCCCCTGATATCCAAGTAAAAAAATTATTTCCTGGATGCTTGCGTTGGTAACATGCCATATCTTCCCCCCCTCAATCTGATACGGAAAAAAAATGAATTCCTGGCACCTGACTTCCCGGCTGACAGCTCACAGTTTTTCAGAGTCCACGGCTTCACGAGTGCGGTCCGGCAGATGCCCACGGCAATGCGCAACCCTTTTGCATGGACAAATGTATCTTCAGGAAAAAACGCCTGTTTTGCAATTTGGCCACACGTTGGAACAAAATTCTTCAATTTGTCCCAGCATTTCCTATCTATGGATGGTTGACCTGGTGATGCGATTTTTTTCCTGTGGGGCCAGCCTTTTAAGATCATCCACGAGAATTCGGCCAAAAAAAGGTCCAGCCCCTTGGATTTTATTTTTGACACCTGCGCCTCGGCCTCTTCAAGTCACCTTTTTTTGGTTGGTGAAGCTGAACATATGTGGTTGTACCCCTTTTGCAAGGACAAATGTATTTTCAGAAAAAAAAACGTCTGTTTTGCAATTTGGGCGCGTTGACACAAAATTCTCGAATTCGTCCCATCATGTCCTATCTGTGGATGATTGGCCTGGAGATGCGACTTTTTTCCTATGGGCCAACCTTTGAAGATTATCCGCAAGTATTCAGTCAAAAAAAGGTCCAGCCCCTTGGATTTTATTTTTGACACCTGCGCCTCGGCCTCTTCAAGTCACTTTTTTGGTTGGTGAAGCTGAACATGTGTGTCTGTACCCTTTTGCAAGGACAACTATATTTTCAGCAAAAAAAAACATGTGTTTTGCAATTTGGGCGCGCGTTGGCACAAAATTCTTGAATTCGGCCCATCATGTCCTATCAGTGGATGATTGGCCTGGTGATGCGACTTTTTTCCTGTGGGCCAACCTTTGAAGATCATCCGCAAGTATTCAGTCAAAAAAGGTCCAGCCCCTTGGATTTTATTTTTGACCCCTGCGCCTTTGCCTCTTGAAGTCACTTTTTTGGTTGGTGAAGGTGAACATATGTGGTTGTACCCCTTTTGCAAAGTCATTTAAAAAATCATACCCACTCAATTAATCATGGTACATTTTTTCCTGGGGTTTGACATTTAGATATGTTCTAGTAAACTCCCATTTGATCCATCCACCTTCAAATTCCTGGCTACTAACCTTAGGAATTCTACAAACTTACCCATTATCAGAGTCATTCATGATTGATTTCCTGATGCCTTACATACACAGACTGATAGATCAATCCCCCCTCAATCACAACAGACAGAAATTGATTTCCTGTCGCTGTACGTCAGGAAGCTTTCAGGAAAAAAAATCTGGGCCTTTTTTGGTATG